GTGGTCAGGGGTGTAGCGTTGCTTGAACTTCTCAAGCCTCTCGTTGTAGATATCCTCAGTCGTTGAGGCCACAATCTGATGCCAAGACTTAAAGAACGCATCCCACTCTTCTTGCCCTTGAGTATCGTCTTTATCTCGAGTGAATCCAGGCCTGCAATGGCTCAGGACCGCTCTATTGATATGCCATAGGCATAGCAATAAGGCTGACTCAGGGAAACAAGAAGGAGAAGAAACAGCATTCATACAAGCTAGGCAGCGATCTGTGAGTATCACAGATGGAAGGGCTACTCCATAATGCTCATATATATACCGCAACCGTTCAAGGACCCAGATGAAGTCCCCTTCTTCCTCGCCACTAAGAAAGGCGAATACAATACAGAAGGATCGTTGACAAGCATCAATACCAACTATATCGAGAAGAGGCATGCTGTACTTGTTGATCTTGTATGTACAGTCCAAGATAAGTACTTCAGGGTATAGCTTGAGGTATCTCAATGAGCTTGGGTGTGCAAATAACACTGATGTGACTCTGCCACTCTCGTCAAGGCGTATCTGACTCCAGAAGCCCTCATTCTCAAGTTCATTGGCAAAGGCATGCATGTTGCTTTGACCCTTAGCAAGCTCTCGCTTGCCTTGTGCAATGCAGTTGTAGATATCCTGCTGTGTAGCAAGTGTATCTGTGTTCATGCGTAGATAGGATTGGATCTTCTTTGGCTCAATGCCGGCATTGCTGAGTTGATGGACCGTCAACCTATCTGGGGATGATAGCTGACGATGTACTGGATGTGCTAGTTCACTGAAGCTTGGTTCGTGATTGTGTTGATCAAAGCCGGCCCCGGGGCGATGCGTGAGATTCCACATAGTCCCACATAGGCTCTCCTTTGCTGTGATAGAGAAGGTGCATCCTGTACGGCGTGTTGTGGTCTTCCGTTTCCGTTTCTTCGTCGGATTGACCTTAGGGGGTCTCCCTGCTCCGCGGTCACAGTTGTAGATAACCCCAGTTCTTCCATTGGGGGTCTTCCAAGAGGTCTTGACTGAAAAGGCATAGCCTCGAGGCGCTGCCCAAGCATTGATTGCGGCGAATAGTTCCTCCCGTGAGCTATACTGGCCTTCAGGAGGCATAGCATCATCAGGGAAGGCAGTGGGAACGCCAATTGGGTTCATCATAGCTGAAAGAAGGCGCGGCAAGTTAAATTGATATCACAGAAGCTGTTGATCGTTGAATTGGGGCCCCAAATTGCACCAATTTGCAGTATGTTACCCCTTTTTGGGCTTACATAACGAATCTTATTTGCACAGCCGGCTGTGCGCAAAAGTCACGTGATATTAAACGCACAGCCGGCTGTGCGTGTATGAGACCCCGAGGCTACTACTACCTTTTAGCCGACGATAATTAAGTAATACTCTCTAGGCTACTACTATATTTTAGCCGACGATGATTAAGTAATACTCTCTAGGCTACTACTATATTTTAGCCGACGACGATTAAGCAATGCTCTCGAGGCGACGATAATTGAGTAATACTCTCTAGGCGATAACGATTAAGTAATGCTCTCGAGGCTACTACTACTTTTTAGCCGACGATAATTAAGCAATGCTCTTAAGGCCACTATTATATTTTAGCCGACGATGATTAAGCAATACTCTCGAGGCGATAATAATTAAGTAATGCTCTCTAGGCGATAACAATTAAGCAATGCTCTCGAGGCTACTACTACCTTTTAGCCGACGACGATTAAGTAATACTCTCTAGGCTATTATTATATTTCAGCCGATAATAATTAAGTAATACTCTCGAGGCTATTGCTATATTTTAGCCGACGACGATTAAGTAATGCTCTCGAGGCGACGATAATTAAGTAATGCTCTCTAGGCGATAACGATTAAGTAATACTCTCGAGGCCACTACTACCTTTTAGCCGACGACGATTAAGTAATACTCTCTAGGCCACTACTATATTTTAGCCGACGACGATTAAGCAATGCTCTCTAGGCCACTACTATATTTTAGCCGACGACGATTGAGTAATGCTCTCTAGGCCACTACTATATTTTAGCCGACGATGATTAAGCAATGCTCTCGAGGCGATAACGATTGAGCAATGCTCTCTAGGCCACTGCTACATTTTAGCCGACGACGATTGAGCAATGCTCTCAAGAGGCCACTACTATATTTTACGAGTCATAGCGCTCCGAATGGCCCAAAATACCTCATATCTGGTTTTTCTTCCAGCTGGCACTCATACATTAATGGCCTGATTATTTGTTACCAGCTGGCTTTTTTTTCTCCCAGACAGTTGCTGCATAGACAGCTTTACTGCTTTTTCATAGGCCTTAAGTTTTTTTTTCTCTTGCCTAATAAAAGACAGCAAGAGGTTTTTTTCTTTTTCTTTTTTTTTTTTTAATTTTTTTTTTTTTTTTTTTTTCACATTTTCTATCATTTCCATATGTGACCGAACGTGAATTCCCGTCGTGTCTTTCCATCTAACTGGCCAAAGAAGCCAGACTATCCAGCACGAGCCGATCGTGTGAACATGTAATGCGTAAGCTTCTGTAAATAATGTCATACGTGCAAAACTGGATATGCCCTCCAGCGGTCCAATGTTCGCTCTTCGGCCTACTGTGATAACTCATTGTAGACTTACAGGACCGGCACTGACGTCGACGGAATCCGGCCAACGTTTTTAGACGATGGTTTAGATTAGAATCGAATGAAATACTGCCCTTTAGCATATCTGCGTGTTATTATATCTTCTTCGCTAGTACTGCTAAATCTGCTAGTTTGATATCATCGCTGCTCTCTCCATAAGCTGACATCATATCAGGACAGCGTTTTATCCGGATATCAGGATTATTTTATCATATCAAATATCATATCGGGATAGGCAAGTCTGGATGAGGCCGAAAGCTTCACTAGGTCCTTCTGGGGCGGTGTATATTGGACATCAGTGAACGGTGTATCTTCTCAGACGACCGACAAAAACGGCCTTCGGTCTACTTGTCTAGAAAAGCCGCCGTGCTGGAACGGCGATTCGCGACTCCCCCAACCAGTTCGCCCCGATAAGCTTCCACCTTCTCTCTCCGAATAAAAAACAATAAAAAACAATAAAAAATAAAAAAAATAAAAAAAGTCTACTTTGGCACTTCGTAGCCATCCGCGGAGCTTCTGTCGACACCCACGTATGCGTTATGGGGAGTGTATGGAAGATAAATTAGACCAAAATTGACCGTTGTAAAGTCCAAACCCTTTGTTTAATCAGTCATGCGCGCTGGAAACTTTCGGACCCCGCCACATATCATATGGTACGTATCTCTTTTCACCGCCATCGCAGTGAAGTCTCGCCGTGGCCAGAACGCCTTGGCCTATCAAGACTTTCATCGTTCTATTTTGGACTCATTTATCTAGGGCATTATGTGCTTGGGGACTGCAGACAGTATGATCTTGAAGCAAGTCAATCGTTTGCTCTGGTGATGAAGAGGCTTGAGCTAGCTGCAGCGGAATTCGCGAACCCGGGAAAGTGCCGGGATCGAAAGATATGAGGATGACGTGCCTCAACTCTCTTGGGCCTATGCTTGCTGGAGGGTAGAGCAGAGTTCGCTCATCCGTCCCCCATTCAGCGCCTCTCAAAAGGTGTCGGGTACGAGAGTAGTAAGTCAAGATGAAATGATGATCTCAAGATCGAGAAGAACAGATTATTCATTGATCCCTCCCTCCTCGTCTTCGTCCTTCCTCGTCCTCATTATATTCGACGAGACGAGGGTGTGATACGAGACCTGCCGAACCTGCAACAGATCTGTAACACCACTCTGCCTCTTGTGGTACACACTCTTGTGACAGTCTGGGTAGAGGCATATGCAACAAAATGCTGTCCGGGATGAACAATGACCAGAAACTGAGCCACGGGTGCAAGCGGGCCCTGGGGGTCTGGATCGGTTAGGATGAAGCATCCGCATCCTGCCGCGAAGGACCCCGACCTTTGGGCCGAAAAAGAGCGTCGAGCTGATTCCTCCCATCATAGCTGCTGTTCTTGCCGCAGTGGCGCCCACTACGATAAAGTTGGAATAGACTATGCTGTGTTCTAGAACTCTTTGCTCCGGTGGGGTTGCCAGCGCCGCAAAGCAACGTAGGTAGGATGCATAACTACGATGCCCAGATCTAGCTCCCCGCCTACTTGATTTCAGCAACAGGCGCGGGGCTTCAGACCGCTTCATGCCCCCCCCTATTGTTGAGAAAGGGAGGTCGGGAAATAGAGCACTTGGCTAGCTGCTACACTGACCGCGGGGGATATTGTCGGAAATCACGTTTCCGGCTGTACTTCCTAAATTCATCTCTATGCCGTTTCCTCTTAGATATACAAGATCAGTTGTTCTAAGCCCTCAGATGAATCCATTGACTCCTGGATGAGATCGGTAATTTGGTTGATCTAGGCCCTCAGACAAGTTCCTTGACTCCTGGATGATATTACTGAGGCGAAGAAGGTCCGAAAGTATTCGGGGAGGATTGGAAGGGTATTGAAGCACAGCCGGTACGCTGAAGGCCGAAAAGGACAAAATCGTTGTCCAACCTCCGAGGCGGACCCACCACTCGCGTCTTTGGCAGGCGGACGTCAGCAAATGACTTCTTCATCTGCGCTTGTTTGATGTCCGTATCAAGTTTGGTAAGAGAATCGCTCATTGGGGAGGCTAGCTCGAGTTAGACAGCCCTAGAAAATCATGATGCTTCCGGGCTGGCTCTCATAACCCAAATGCTATAGCCTAGCAGATCATGACCGAAGTCTAGTGCATTGCCGAAATCATAAGCGGGGTTGGAGACGTCGCCGTGCCGTCGTTTCTGATATTGATATGGTGTGCTAGATCTAGATCTAGTTCTAAGCGTGGATATTGGCCGCCACTTTGCGTGTATTATTCATGATTCTGCGTTTGCCTTTCTACCCAGCTTTCCTAAGAGCATTGCATTTCGAATCTCGACATCCCATCCTACATAATGATTGGCTCGCCGATCAGGACGCCCCTTCCTCCATACCGGAAGCGATGTTTCTGTACTTCGAGTTTGGATAGTGAAGCCAGTTGTCGGTGTTGTCAAGCACCTCTAACGATTGGAAGCTCGTCTCGAGGAGCGATGCCGATCCGCTCTTGTCGGCGGAAGCCTCCCAGAACATGGCCCTACCCAAGCCCAGTTGCTTCAGATAGGCGACTTTCTGCTGCACAGCCTCCGGCGGATCAAAGGATATGAGCTCGCGTGTAGTGGCATCGTAGCTGTAATGCGCATGGGCCGCGGGGTCGAAGCCCGGCACAGCCCCGTCCTTGGGCAGCGCGCTGTAGTCCCAGACGCCCTTCTCCCAGCTGCCGAAGCCCACATCGACGAATGGTTCACCGAGTCCTGCAGTTCCCTGGAACGAACGACCGTAGATGGGCATCCCGAGAACGAGTTTCTCAGATGGTACACCAGCGCCAAGATAAGCTCTGACGGCGCCATCGGTGTTGAAGGGGGTGGCATCGGGTTCTTCATCGTTGGCGTAGAGGTTGGCGTTATGACCGGTGTGGGTGCTCCACGATCCGGCGTAGTCGTAGGCCATCAGGTTGATGTAGTCAAGAATTTGGGCAAGGTCGGCCAAGTGGAGCTTGCTGTAGTGCTCAAATCCCGCTGGGGCGGCTATGGAAAGCTGGAAGCGATAGCCCGAGGCAAACTCGGCTGCATACGAGTCCAGCTCGTCTCGTACGGCCTTCAAGAGGAGGACCATGTTGGTGGCATCACCCTCGTTGGCTGGGTATTCCCAATCGATATCGACGCCGTCGAAACCCCAGTCCTTCACTAAGGTGACTGCAGACTTCGCAAAGGTGGCTCGTGTGGTGGTGCTACTGGCGACCGCGGCAAAATTCGCAGACCAGGTCCAGCCGCCGAGGGAGAGCATGACCTTGAGCTTTCGATTGGCTTTTTTCAGGAGATAGAGCTGTTTGATGCATCCGTAGGCATTATCGTTGCCTTCGGCCCAAGCTTGAGCAGCGCAAAGGGGACATGTAAGCGAAAAGGGAACTTTTTCCTTTGTGATAGACGTGGAAAAACGAAAGTGAAAATAAATTTGAGGAAAGAGATAGTGAGACGTTGGAATACAGCAAAAAGGGGGGGAGGCAAGCCGGGAAGAAGAAGGGGGAGACGGGGAAAAGGGAGTATTACTTACAATCGCCTGCGTAATGCTTCTCGAGATCGGCGTAGGTATCTTCTGTATAGCTTTGACAGAACAGCAATTAGCAATCCGCAACACACATACTTTATCGATAAGCACATACACTGTCCCATCCTCTTTGATATTCATAAAGGCATAGAGAATGTGCGTCAGACGCGAGACCGGGAGGTCTTGAGGGTGATAATCCCTCTGGTAGATACCCCTGTGATGGGTAGTTTGTTAGCCTCGCTTCCGTCCCTCTCGCTCCCATGTTCCTCCTAAACGTGACGCCCAAGTCTGCATAACCTACCAGTTGACAAAATAGACCATGTTGACGTAGCTGGTGCCACGTTTCAGAGGCTCGAGCTGATGTCGCTGCAAGACATCGGGCTCTGCCAGACTCAACACGCTTTGGAGCGTGATCAGCAACGAGATCAACTTGAAGCGGGTGAGGAACATAACTGCGATCGGGAAATGAGGTGGAGGCTGCTGCGAGATGCTCGGTCGTCTGCAAACTAAAAAGCTGCGATCCTGCAATTGTATATGGGTATTTAGCTGAGAAGAAGGAACCACGCGGCTGGGCAGCCTCCAGAAGCTATAGATCTCGACCGTCTTGGGAAATTGGTTGAGGATAGGCCGGCCCATTTAGGACGGTTGCCAATCCCAAAGACACCTGCCACTCGCCATATTCGCCCCGGAATCTTCATTTTTGGACGTACATTATTACGCGACATCTGTTTTCTTCTAGCATCTAAAGCATCTGAGGGCTGTCGTGTTAAGCCTTTCGAGTTCACCTACCCGTCAAAAGGGCATTTTTGTCGCATGAGTTCCAGCAGCCTCCACCATGCAGGGTCGTGCGTAGAAGACGAGAACATCGGAGGCTACCCGGTACAGCATGATATCAGCTACCGACTCGCCAGTTGGTATTTCACTATCATGCCCAGCAATCATCTAAATCCTGCTATTGTGTGGTGCTGTAGAAGCATTGACATAGAGCATGGTTCCAGCCTCACCAGGCAGGTCGGACAGTGCAATGCATAAGCCGCAAGCCCTGTATGTTCCGGGAGTCAGAGGCGGGATGATATGCACGATAACCTAACATGAAGTAGTGTCGATGTTGGCGGTGTTTCGAGGACGGGCCTCTTGCACGGCATGGTCAAGGCTTCGAGGGTCCAGCGGGCTCCCGTTGATGGAGAAATAAGGGGAGATGGGATCACTGGAGTCGTAGGTGCGCCACCTGGCATTTGTGGCTGCTCTCTGGCGCCAAAGTTGGCAAGGTTTTTCCTTGACCCAAGGCGCTACGACGAGGATCACGGTGTAGGTGCCCTGCAAGGAGTTGTGATGAACATTTGGTTGGACGCGCAGCGGGCGGAGGAGACACAGTCTGCCTCTGATAATGTCCCAACGACGGCAGAGAGAAAGGAAGAGGGCGAACTCGATATCTAAACTACATCTTGCCGTTCCTTAGACCTCTAAAGTTTAGCTTGCAGGAGATAAATATCGAATGCATTTATCAGCCAGGACGAAGGGTTCTATCCTATTCGTTCGCCTGGGAACCTTTATATCCTGCCGTACGTCCATGCTCTTGTCCTGAGCCGCTATTCACCGGCCTCTATTGAAGGTTGAGACTCCGTCGCCATCTCGGACCTGAGATGGTCCGCCACCTGTTACGAATTAGACGAGGTACTGAGACGGCATAGAGAGAAGCGTACAATGGCATCCAGGCTTGGAACATCCTGGCCTTCTGGAATGTGCATTGCACAGACCCATTTGTGGCGGATGGGATTCCTGTAGACTAGGACACAGGCGGTATGACCGTATACTCCGAATTCAACGCTCTTTTTCGTAAGCGTGCGGCCCCTCTTTCTGATAATGGCCTTTTGTCTGTCATCATGCTGGTATAAGCTCTCGGTTACGGCAAGGGCCGGCTCGGTTGAGGTCGGAAAAGCAGGTCTCGGAATCTCGGGTTCGGGCTCCCGTTTCACTACCGCCAGACAGCGCCTTTTGTCTCTGGTAATTCCGATGTTGGCGTCCTGCTTTCTTTTGACCTACACAAGGTCAGTCACATAATTCCTAAAATCGATCGTAAAATCCCTACCGCGCCAGACTTTGCCACGGACGAGTCAGCCGATGGCAACGGCATCGGACGAAGCCTGCCAGCGCGTCTTGTATGGGAGCCGTTGGGCTGCAAAACTAACTCCTCGGCTGCTGCATCCGGCTGGTCTGGAGGGAAAAGCTTGTTGAAGTCGCCGGAGAGGCGGGCAATATGCCCTTGGTCTCCATTGGGAGAAAACAGTTCTGGAGCCAATCTCTGCATCGTCGGAAGGCCAAATAGGTTGATCAGATCCCCAATGATCTTTCCCACGAGTACCTCCATTCCGTGATCGTAGGCTTCTTGCTTCTGCGCCCTTGTGGCAGCGTGATTGAGCTCTAGTTCCTTGATCTGTCGGCCATCCGAAAGTAGTGCCAGCTGAACTAGCGATATATCATCTTGGGAGGGGTAGAGAGCAAACTGTTCCAATCTTCTCCTCGAACGATCGCGAAGAATGGCCAACTCGTCGTGGAACGCAGCATCGGGCTCCTGAATCCCTTTGAGATCTTGATCCCAGTTGGAGATTGAATCCTGCAACCTGACGGCACGACTCGAGCAGTCCATGACGTTCGGATGATGGGCTTCAGGGAAGGGAGTGGCCTCGAGCATCGCCCTGTATCAGACTAGGTTGATTGGGTGTTTTTTTTTTTTTCTTTCTTTTTAGGTTCCCAAGCGCCGCTGAAAATTCACAAGTTGTGGCGCGGTACTTCACTTATTTGCATGAGAAGTCAGGGCCTACTTGGACGGTCTGCTTTATCAATAAAGCCAAAAATACACGCGCCGGACGACTTGGTCCATTTTCGGCTGGGGATCAAGGTGCTGGAGAGTGTGGAGACGATAGGCGCTTGCAGGATACTGTAACAACACGACAAGTTACGAAAATGACAACTGCAGCCCCCCTTCTGTTTATACATTTGAGATTATTACATTAAACTATACACCCGTGCGAGGCGAGAGTTTGCTGGCCTTTCTGCCACATTCTCTAGGCCAGTCCTCACACTCCCGACTAGTCAAAGCTGGCCGACCATTGTCTTTGTTTCGAATGCAAAGAAAAAGTCCCATGGTGGATTATTAGATACGACGGTATCAGGAGCAGTGGTACGCTATTGTCCGCAGCCATCCTCCCTCATTGAGGCCCCCGGAATGGCTGCGAGGCATTCAATAAGACGCCTTGGGTTATGCATAGTGAATGAGTGAGAAACCCGGCGACGAGCTCCGAAGCATCGGATCGTGCAAGGAGGGCTGGCTGCATCGTGGTGTAAGAAGCTTCACTCGGGGCGCATCCCTGCGGCTGTAGAAAACCCGCACTGCCTGGCTTGGTGGATCTCCCCTCAAAAGCAGTCCAACGTGACCAAACTTGCCATCTTGCGAGCCAGTGGCAGGCTCATCCGCCAATTCTGCAAGGGCCCGCGCGATTTGTGAAACTTCGTGGCGACCCAAGTGTCCTACGCCTTCGATGGGGTGCGGAGGAATGACGACGGTGACTGTTTCGAGGCACGGGATATTCGAGAGAGCGATGAAAATCCCCATCAAGTTTACATTCGGCAGGACGAGAAAAGCAACATGCTGTATGCGAGGTATCATGTCCCCATGAGCATAGAGTCCCCTTGCTGGCTCCGCACCAGAGTGTGGAATGCCTTGCAACGGGCATATTGTGCGCTCGAGGCACATATTGACGGGAAAGTACTCCGAGAAGCAACAGCTGATCATGGTCCACTCAATAGACGCTTCTTTACATGCTAGAGCCACTGTAGATGCTCCAGATCGCTGGACAACCTCGCACTTTGGAGGGAGACCATTGCCTACTTGGCTTGCATCGTCTGTCGTGATAGATACCACCGACACATCTGCTTTCCATAGAGCTATCCTCCATATCTGGCACCCTATTTCAGGCGGTAGGAAAGAAACTTGGGGAAGGACGTTGTGCTGGAGACGAGCTTCGGTCCTACCTTTGGGGCCTCGCCAGTCTTCATTATTGCCACTTAATGTTGGCTAGTGCGTGACTGGTACTCAGACACAAGGCCGTTTGAATGAATCTGGTTTATGAGACGGAGGGAGTGTTACTGGCCGTGACGAAGAAAGGCCGAGAAGGCTTTCTGGGGCCTTGTTTGTGCCCGGATCAAGAGGTGCACCCGGGCGAGCCCGTGGAATTTATAAGTGTGAAGCGCAGAGTGGATGGAAAAACTGGTAGTGATAGGATCAATTGGGATTCTGGGGGCTGCTGGTCAACAAGATGCAGATCCCAGAAAGTGTGGTCCGTAGACGGCCTTGAACTGATGAACCGCGACTGCAACAAAGAAAAGTAGATAACACCCGACGAAGCACGACCCCTGGTCCGCACTAGAATAGCTTTCAGATACTTTAGGTGACGTAAAAATCATACAAGATTTATGATAAACTGAGCAACCACTAAAACCAGCGGAGAGCGCTGATATAACAAGAGGTTTCTACATGGCCGTCGTATCTTGAGATGCGAGATGCATTTAATTGTGAAGCATAGCACACAATCGAGGGGAATATCCTACGGTATACTTCGCCACTGGAAGGAACGGGGGAAAGACGAAAAAGAGAATGATACCAAAGCCATCAAAAGGCTACTGACAACTGAGGGTATGCAGGCCACCCCAATTCCCCCCCCCCAAAAAAAAAGAAAGAAAAAAAAAGACTTGGCGAAGTAAGGCCACCGAGAGCTTATGAGAAAGGACTGCACGGGCATCGCTCAGGTCCTAGTATTGAAGTTGGAGGGATTGATATCCCGTAGAATAATTTTGAACCTAGGGATATTTACTCCAATGAAGATAGTTACCCATTATCATACATGGACAACACTGCAGCGTCGCTGTGGGTTCTCAATCGTATTGCTAACGTCGTAATTCATCTTATGAGTCCGTTTGATTTTTGCTCATCACCTCTCTCTCCATTGCATTTCTCGCCTACTGCGTCCTTTCCTGCCCTGACGTGTGGCTAGGCCCGGTCACATTACCAATCAAGTCCATTCGCGACCTCCTTGCTACTTTCTAAAGCCACCGTCTGAACCCCTATGCTATGCGCTTCCCGTGTTTTTTGCTGGAATGACTCGCTTTGTTGAATCAAGGTGGTGAACGTGAAGAGCGGGATACGTCAGGCGGAATAGGCGGGCAGAGGGGTCCGTCCATCCGGGATTGCGGCTCTATCTACCCTCTCTTCCAAAGCCATCTGATATGTGGGAGGTGATGTATCCTGATCTGTCTGGCATGACCGGTGGGCATACTGTGCGACTCCCATCCCATTTATCCTTTCAACTTGAAGGCTGAGATGGCTCGAATCGTGGTCGGATATGCCGGTATCCTGTCCATTCCCGGTGCGGACAAGCTCGGACTGAGTCTTCAACCGGGGATGGGTCGCAACCTGGTTTTCCACATCCACTCTATATCCCGCCGGGATTTCTTCTGTCGTGTATATTTTGCGTTTGCATCCTGTTTTGATTCGCGTCCAGGCTGAGCAATACCAAGCCGAAGAATACCAGGCATTCCTGTCTCCTCCGTGGCAGGTGGAATGCGAAGCAAGTGCACGGGAGCCAAGCCACATCGAACAGGATGACACGAGAACAACAGGCCAGAAAAGGGCGAGTATTGGGGTAGCGATAATGGCAAGGCTTCGCAGGCAAATGTCTACCCTCAGGCGCGGCCATTTGTGAGTAGCATTGACGAAAAGTATATGGGCGGCCAATATGGCGGGTATAACCCAGAAGATGACCAAAATCGCGGTTATGGCTATGACCTCGGTTGGGCCCATGCTGGAGAGTCGCCCACGTCCGCTGTAGAGGCCTAGTCAGGATGATGACGTAGGTATGTACGAAGGAGTAGAGCAATGTTTCGTGGTACGTTTGCTCAGGCTTAGCTGCTTCGGATACGAGACCTTCGAGGACTGCTACTTACTCCGTACTTTATACAACGCTCCCTATCTGGCGTGCTATCTAGAAAAGCACTTGAGTTGGGTCATCTGTCCGTAGCGTCCGTAGTGTGCGTCCGTAGATGGGGTCCGCCTGCCGCCGCAATGAGCGCATGATTTTAAACTTTTGTTTTCGTCAGTGAAGTTTTAAAAGTCCCATACAGTGTTACTGGATCACCTTCGAGCACAGTATATGGAAAACCTGAGGCCAGGGCGTACCGTAGCGGATGAGTTAAGGTAACCCGCATGCTAACACGCACTGTTCCTGTATGGAGAGGGTATTTACAGATACCGAAAGAGACCTTGGGCGCCCAGCCAGCAACAGCCTTCCGGCGTAGCAGAGGCCCTTTCATAGTCCGCTTCTGGCACCATACTGACTTGCAATGGACTTGGACGCATTATAAGTCTCTCCTCCGCCTTTTCTAGAAAGAGATCGTTGATGAGAAGGGGAAAGTCAGCATGCGCACAGCTGCATAACGTGTGGATTTGCTATGAACTGACATTGTGTTCGAGACTGCCTACTCCATAGTCTTGTCCGGGCTCCGTTCTTGAGGAGCAGTATATATCGGAAACGTGGATCTGGATTCGGATTATAAACAAGGGGCTCTAAACTTAAACACGCAGAAGGCCACCAAAGACAGAGGCCGAAGTCGAAGCCAAGGCACAAGTCGGGGCCAACGCTGGGGTCGGAGTCAAAGTTTGTAACTAAGATCAGGTGATCTAGATCGCCAACACTGATGATGCATGCTGGGTCGCTCAACCGGCGAAGTTACGGTGTTGAGCGTGTCTATTCGGAGCGCTGAGCCTTGCATGGCAGTCCTAATATGTTGTAGGCCCTCGCCTTCATCGTCATCACCAGAGGGTTTCTCGACTTGCACTTTTGGATAGGACTTCATATAACTCATGTAGCCTCGGGGCGGGGCAGACCTCGCATGCATAATATTCTTTACTAGTCAGGGCGTACGCTCGATGGCGGCGTTTTGAGCTCTGGTCTCCTCGCAAACTAGCACTATATCTAGGAAACTAAGACTGCTTGCTCATGCACGTACCTTCGGCCAACATAGCGGCTAGTGAAGGATCTCTCGGAGTTTGGACGCCTTCTATCTCTGCCGGCGGCGATAAGCAACATCCTGGCTGCGACTTCGAACCATGCCAAGTCCGCTAGGCGTCTCCGATTGATGCACATAGTAGCTGAGTATTTATCCCTATTTGTAATGAATAATTGTACTGGACCTACTGAGATGTCTGGCGATGGATGTAACTTTCTAGACCTGCAATTAACGTTGCGTATAGAATAAAAGAATAGACGAAGCTCCTTGCCGTTACCGAGTTTGGCGACCACCCCGGTTACGTCCCAAGCTTTACAAAGTAATATAAGATACATTCCGTCTGGAAAACGCCCCCCGCCTCGTTGCATTTGTCATTGATGTTTTCTAGAACCTCACGGCACGATTTGCTATGATCTGGTCCGACGGCGTCGTTAGGGCAGGACGGTAGCATCTGCATCCCGATCCAGACGTCATCGTATGGTGCCTCTTCTATGGGATGCTGGGCGTTGATCTCGAAAGTGTCGAGCCGCTTACAAAACGACTCTATGAAATCGACCCTGGACTCCTTGCTTGAACTGAATTTTCCTGCTTCGGGGTGGGTTTCTTTCCAGCACACGAGCGGACTGCCGGTGCCTGTTGCCGCCGGTTCCTGTATAGAATGAGAGCCAGTTGCCGTTGTTGCAGAGTCGGGGGTGGAGGCATCCGTCGTTGGGGTGGTCGACTGGGTGCCTGTGGGCTCCAAGCTCCCGGGTAAGCGGATACTGAATAAATCTCCAGAAGTATCCGTTCCGGTCGGTGTCTTTGATGGGTTTGCCGTACTATCAAGCCCTGTAGATGTGGCCGTCGAATCCCGGCTGCCTCTGCTCACCGCATGAGAAGTAGGCGAACCTGCTTGTTTTGAATGTGCATTTTGGTTCAGCTGCAGGGTCCTAGGGCAGTCGCCTGACCATGCAGCTGGGGGAACGATCTCCATACTGGCATCATAAGGGACCTTGTATGTCCTTCCGGGGTAAATCTTGTTTATGTTAACACCGGAATTAAGTGCCTCGGCTTCCCCGTAATCGAAACCGGGCAGAGCTTGCCCGACATCCTGGGCAAATGTGTCCCCGTCACGAGGGACCCAGATGGCATAGTCGAGGGTGCAAGCGGCGCTGACAAGGGAAACAGAGAAGAGACTAAGTATCGGTTTCATTATCCTTGATCACAAATACACGAGGTCCAGATCTCCACACGCTTGGAGAGGTTTTATGCTGTTCTTATACAATTCTCGGATTTCACGCCTCTCGTTGTTAAACACCCTAGTCCGGATAGGCTGTCCTTTATCAGCTGTCTAATTGTGGCCTGCTATGTTCGGCAGTTAATCGTTTTCTGGACGTTACACCTGCCACCCACGACCACGACGATGATGATGATGATTGATTAACTAACCTCTTGAGGCAAAGCCACACAACCTTCCGGAGGAATAAAAGGACGTGCTATGGCCAATCAAAATAGAGATACAAAGGACGAGGCCAGTCTCGTAAAGCCGATATGGGCCCAGGCGCTGCTCAACATTCATGAGTGTATTTTTTATCCAATTACCGCGGAATCTTGTTTGAGCGAAAGCGAGACATGTTGCATGTGAGGTGAAGGGCCAATATCTGACGCATGACCCCCATCTACGGAACAGATCTTTCGGATGGCCGAGCTCTCCGTCTTAGGTCAAATCACTATCAAGGTGAACTTTATGTATTAGGCCATACGTTACTTGATGTGACTTGAGCTATCTACCCGCTGTCTCCTTGTCTTTTTAACTTAGAAATGCCCCTGCTTCTACTTTTCACGCTCAGCTCAGTTCATCGCATCATTCATCCATTCAAACTTTCCGACCCCACCGCCAGCCTCCTTCTCGATCCCAATGCAACACAAACATCCCGAATCAGCGGTCGCGAGAAGGGTTGCCGCGCAAAACCCAGCGAAAGGCGATGTCTGTCTTGTGCGCCGACACTGGAAGCTGGCTCTTGGGGCTTATCTGACGATGGTCCTGGCCGGTACTATGGTATACGCTACATTCGGTGAGTCGGAGGTGCAGAGCTTGGTATCCTCGACGCTGACAGAGTACCGTGGCAGCGGGTGTGAAACCTTTCGACCTGGCAAAGAGGTCGTGGGGAGGTTTCAATGAGCGCCCCACCACCGCCAAGTGTTACCAGCAAGAGCGGACAGCCATGATCCTCTCATTTCTGCTGGGCTCGTTCGGAGTAGATCAGTTTTACGCACACCATTGGCCTCTGGCCGTCTTCAAGCTACTCACTCTTGGTGGCGGCGGAGTCTGGTGGCTTGTTGATGTTATTCTTTGGATGGTTGGTGGCGTTTACGGCACTCCTGGCTGCCCCGGTGGGGGCAAACATGGCTGGCAGTACTAGGTAGTCTTGGAGGTGGATAAAGGATCTGTATATCTGGAGATTTCTGATTTCGGAGAAGGGCATTCTTTTGATCTAGTTCAAGTTTCAGTTTAGGTCCCGTGGCTTCCACCGCGAATATTATTTATCGCGAGGCGGGGGTGGAGAGAAGATACAAGAAGGCACTTGATTTTCATCTAATGAGTGAAGAAGGTCGGTTTCTTATAGTTGCAGTTCATCTTAGCACAGAGGCAGTGTTGGGGAGGATGCTATCCTTCTGATCCTGCACGATTGATCCTCCTATCCCTTCTGATCCTTTGACATCATCCTATTGTAGCTCGGCCCGCTCCTGTGCTCGGGGCGATGGTCACGATGCGGCATTGCCACCCTTGCGCCTCTCTGGCAGATCATGTTGAAGGCCTTGTGCCAGACAATCGGCTCCACAGGGACCATTGATGGCACCTGCCAATTGATGAGGATTATCTAAAGAGCAATTGCACTATACAAAAGAGAATGAAGTTACTGTCTTATATAGAAGACGAAATCCGTGTGGAACGGAAATTGCAAGTGGAGAGTACCGGAGGGAAGAAGTCCTGATGTGTGTGGAACATGCTGATATGGGACACCTTGCTGATCTAACAACCGCTGCGGGGGGTGGTGGCGGGGAAGGGAATCAATCCACGGGGGACGTTCGTGGATTGATTGATTCTCTTCCCTGGACGGCAGAGCGGAGCTGGCTCCACCAAAGGACTCCCATAGACCCCTAACGCGGAACAGGTCTAGCGATAAGTTGTTGTTTCTATTGCGCAGGTGTGCTGAGTGAAGATGTTGATTGAACTTGATTCTTATTATTTAGAGAGTTCTTCTCAGGTTTATATCTCTGAGTGGTTCCATCTAGGACTTTGAACTCTAAATCTAGGACTTTTCAGACTGCTAGTCTGCATCCTGAAAGGAAGGGGGATCCTCGGATTTCCAACACAAGTGGAAAGAACAACCAACTGTCGCACCATCATCAATTCTTCCGAACTCTCACTTGCCATTTACGGGCTCATTGACGAGAAAACTACTCTAGAGTTATATTCCTGGCCGGAGCCGGCATGTGGCTTGCTGTATGTTGCATCGATTAACTAATTTGACCGGCATCCTGGATGACGCCAGTGTCGCACAGAGACGTTTCGAAGGGGCCGCTGTACTATTCCCTGTAGCTTCAACACTACTTAATCAGGCAAGGATCTGCTCGAGAGGTGGCTGGTCTAGTCATCATCCACCGTCCTAGCCCTCATGGAAAATACGTAGAGGTAGTTATTGTCAATATCAGGAGCCAAATCCAAAAGTTAACCTTCCATCAACACTGAAGTCGAATATGGCCTACCCGACCAGCTATAGCGTCGAATTTACCATCCTCTCCCCACAACCGAAGAAAAAGCCTTTAATGGCCTATCTGATGGGCGAGATTCGATATCGGATCGTTTTTAGGTTTTTTCCTAGCCTCGTCACCTCTCGTAACTAACTGTTTCTGTTCTTTTCATTCGGAGATGGCGCCGCCAATGTTTCCTTATAAATATGTCTATGTACCATGCATGCGTCAATTCTCTTCTCTAACCAAGCTTCATGTTTTAGACCGAGATTGCTACTGTACGGTTCTATCACATAAATTACTTAACAGTATTTTCTCTCCGTCGCTATTCAGCGCTCAGTTCCTGGTTTTCCCCTCTTGCCCACCTCAGGATGGCGTCATCGGCGACGGCTACTCCTGACGCTGACAAGATTTACTACGCTGATCTTGTATGTCTCGCCCGGATCCCTTCAAATAGAAACATCTAGCGATTATCTAACACTGGCACAGGTGAGTTTTGCTCGCCTTCTCTACCAGCAGGCTGAGCATGATGAACATTGCACTTGTTCCAAGGAAGAGAGTACTTCAGGCTGCACTATCAAGGTGTCTTGGGTATGTTCTCACACAGATTACTCCCAGTGCGTGGTGGTGCGAAGGTCTGACACGAGGCCAGCTCCGGGACACCCTGCCTCATCTGAAGGCCGGTTTCTCCGCGTACGCGGAGGCCTACATCCGCGACCGTGCCCCCATGATACAGGTCGATGATACTACTAGGCGGTGCTCACAAGGCAAACGTACTCCAGGCTGCACTATCAAAGTGACACAGGTATCTTATCTCACAAGTCTTGGATAGGTGGCAGCATAAGGGGCTCACACCAGACCAGGTCTTCGACTTCATCCGGCCCCTGATAGCCTATCTTTCCAAACCCGAAGAACCCGGCATCTGCTACCATGACCCTATGGAACAGAGCGGGAACGTCGAAACGACCGGTCCTTTGACATCGAGTGTGGCCCTTGGCGCTATGTACGAGGCTGACGCGACGCCGGTCGACATAACCATTTCTGGTATAAGCTCTGCGCCGTCCAGTCCGTCAACAACGATGACTGAGTCGCAACCGCTAGACTCGCCAGGTTCGCCCGAGCCGCTCAAGCCGTTGCAGGACCTCGATTTGCCGACATTTCCGGGGCTGAACGAGAAAATGGAAGCCAATCCGCGGCCTAGTGCTTGTCAAGCCTTCAAGACAATTTGGAGTTCATACGATGAGCTTGTAGGCGAAAATGCAGAGACAGATAGTGCTCATCTGTCGACGTCGCCTCTTCCTCAGTTGCATAGTCGCTTAGTCGAGGCGGAGGACGCACTTGCACATCCAGAACACCAGACAACTTTGGCCGTTCTCGAATATCGCGTTGATGAGGTCATGCTGGCCATGTGCTACAACGAGAAGTTATACAATGCTCACGAAAAACACATGCAAGGATCGAAAGGCGCGAAAGTCAAACACACACCGACGAATGCGACCGTCTCCAAACTGAGACGGTACTCGATGAGATGATACAAGAGGGCTTTCGTTCAAAGTCGTCCGACGATCATTTGATCGACGCAGGTGAATTCCCGAGAGAAAAGCTATGCGAGTGGATCGGTTTAGGCCAATTCTTCTTGAAATTGATCGCGGAATTCGGTTGGGGTGCGATGATATATCCGGGTCTCTGCATTGAACAGGACGAGTAAGTCACGATTTGTAACTAGATAATATACCGATACTGACTATACCTTTCATAGCTTGAAGGAGATGGGGCAGGAGGAGCTTGATAAGATCATGGAGTTCATCCAGTATCATTACGGCACCACGGCTTGGAGGAAAGAGCTGCTTGACATATCCCCGACGATCTTTACATTGATAATGCAGGGGATTCCCGAGGGCCAAACGCTGAGGATTCTCACAGTGACAGATGGGGGTAAGACCGAGCTGATGGACTTGCCACTTAGCGAGTGGCTCCGCTTCATTCCAATCACTGATGGAAAGCCATCTCGGGCGCCCAAGAGCCGATTTTCGCCACTGGAACAGAACATACTGCGTCGAGTACCCTGCCCAGCCTCTACAAGCCCTGAGTTGGAAGGCCAAAACAATAGTTGAAGTGTTCTTTCCTCGACATAGCGATACAATGAGGCCGTAACGGAGCGAGCACCGTGCTACCAACGGGCACAAAATGCATCGCATTCACATCGGATGAGGTAAAACAACGGGTTCAAGCTTCAGCAATCCTCGAAAGGAAGAATAGGTATCATTGATCTCAATAAAGCCGTACATCGTCATTCTAGCATTGATAGTTCATGAGACAATTCGTAAATACCTCCGCTTAGTTGTGAATAGCGATATTCCAAAATCACGCAGTACCTATTCGTATTAGCCTCATCATCGCGCTCTCCCTACGCTACGTTGTACGTGCTCGCAATAAGCCGCTCGTTTTGCGCCATACTACGACAAAAAACGGCTCGTGCTCTTCCGTGTGATACTAGATTTCGTTCTCGGTCTGCTTGCTTCCAACGCTTATAGAAAGAGACAAGTGACATGTAGATGCGTCCTCATAAGAAATGACCCAGAACAGTGTCGGCGTAGGGCCTATTATCGAGGCGTTGTTTATGGGATTGCATGTGCATGTCGCCAGATAGATGCACCAAGTGTCTAGCGTTGGAGGAAGTATGTGACCTTGACGCCCCACTCGAAACCCTATAGCCGGAGCCGGAGCGAAGAGATATTTGCCACAGCTGAAAGCGATTAACGTGGAGTGCTGCTATCGCTACGACTGTATGTGATTAAGAACAGCAGAATCCGGCCTGAGCACGCAGTCGCGGTTCGCAGGAGACATTTCCGGGAAATGACTAGACTGACTATCAAAGAGTAGAAAATAGACCCTTTACATGAATCTTGAGGTTACAGCATGTTTGAAAGAGTGGATACTATAGCTAGGTGAGTTCATTTCGAAGTCAACCTCCGAGCATAATAAATTATCGACTGTAAATTGAGATAGCTAGGTAGACGTGTACTCCAGTGTTCATTGCGGCATGGGCCGTTCAAAACCGTATAAACTCTGCCAGCTTCTCTGTCACTGAGTCAAACGCATCCTATTACTTCTGGTGTAGTACTGAACAGCACAGTGGGGTGCAGGTTCAGCGTCAGTAATCTATCATTGTAATTTTACCAAAAACGGACGAAACTGGGCCAACTGTGTGGCGCAGTGTCCTGTCAAGCTCCGGAGACCTTCGCTTACTGTTGGGGGCAAGGATCACGATGAGAGTGAACGACCACAACTAGCGTTAGGCAACAGCCTACCGTCTATGAATCGGCAGACCGAACGCGGGTATAAAGAGACCGACTCTCGTCGCTCCTTTAGATAAAAACACACGCTCCTTTTAATCCTTAATCTACACTGATCTTTTGTTCGATGTCTGCATTCATGTATCGGTGCTAGGTTGACATGTCCCATATGACCCCTGCCCCTCCCAGCAATAACATAGTGCTGCCTTGCTATTCAGGCATCAACAGCCCGTCTGACGACCGAGTCCTGGCCGCATACCCGTTGGAAGTTCAACCTCAATCATCAACGGTACTGATCAAAACGGCAAATGCGTCATCCGTTACGGGAAATATACGGTGGATACTTAGGTAGAAATAGAGATCAATCAAGGGTCCTACCTTTGTGGGATCTCAGTTTACGAAAGCGCCCGACCTTCCCATGCATAACCTCCCATAAAGATCTGTGCCACGGCTTCCGTTCTTCTTCCGATTCGCCGGCTTACGTGATCGCCAAAGACTGGACTGATTCTATAAGAGACGGCAGTTGTTGTAACGACTCCTGTGTGGAGGCGAGGTACGCCATACTCTGCCTGGTATCCGGATGGTTTTCTCCAAGCACATGCCGGCGAAGGTCTAAAGCGGTTTGATGAAGCCCCTCAGCCTCGTCATATCGGCCCTGCTCATGGTACGTCGCCGCGAGTTCCGCCATGTTGAAATGAGAAGATACAGATTGTTTAATTCTTTCTAAAAGTGCAGTAGGGGAACCACTGTCTATGTACGGGCACGATCTCTTGTAGAATGTTCCTCCTTCTTCCACACCTTGCCACCACCTTGGTCGCCTCACACTTGTGATCTCCAACAACCCTCGCCGCTCCAGTGCACTCATGCAAGGGATCTAGGCCACCGATCCGCAGACTAAGGCGAGCCCCACATCCCTGGTTTGCAATCTAGTACTGCGAGCCATGTTTGCTCCCACCCTAAGGCCATCCGACATCTGAGAGGCTATCAGGAACAACAGTGCGTTAAAGCCGCGACAGCGTTTCATAATAAAGGGGATCAGCAAGTCGAGGTCGCTTCCGCCTCTGTCCGGGCTCGCGATTCATTGTCTCTGCTTTCCCCCAACTCGGATTCCCATCGGCTACTGGTGTCCGCCGCTTGTCCCGTGACTCTTGTGGGCGAGTCTGTTGTGCCAAACTTTGGAGAATTCGACACACTTCAATGTCAGAGTCCTCCATCAGCCAATGCTCCCTTCCCCCTGTGACCAAAATTAGCCGATTACCATGAGGTATCCAGTGGTCTCCTTCTTACTGCTGAATTGGCCATCATGTGGCGACGCCGGTAGCGTTGACAACGGCTGAGGTTGAGGCCTCATCTCCACTTGGCTCGGAAAGGTAGACGGGAGCAGAGTAGCAGGGGGCCAGAGCTACGCTTGCCTTCTTCTCTAAATGATGTACGTTGGTATAAGACAAGTTGTGCCGGGAGCGTCGAGGGATTGTCATAGGTTTTGCGGTGTGGCCAATATACGGAGGGGGAGCAGTGGCGGAAGAGGTCCAGCCAAGGATCATGGCGATGTTGCGCTTTGGGTTCGCCAGTTATAAGCTTCACTCTTATGACTTGCCGAGAAACACTTACACCGGCTGAATATCGACCACTAGGTATAGGCATTGGCGAAGCAACGACGTAGGCCATGTGGTTGGTGGCTGTGTATTGTGGGCTGTGTGCCCCTTGACAAGGTTTCTTCAATACCCAGTCTAAAGTGGGCCCTGCACGTCTTGGAAGACGTCCAAAAAGGAGAAACAGAGGAGAGAGAGAGAGAGAGGCGCAATAAGTCAAGTCGATCGCGTACCATGATCTGCGAGTTATGGCTCCCGGCGGGGATACTAGTCTATCTGTCTTTTCTTCTTATCCCACCTAATTTAAACGTGTTGTCTCGAACAATACGTCCACAAGAATCTCAACAGGTCATCTCATCACCCCCTACCCCCAAAGGAATAGCATCGACACACTCCAGCAATGCACGAGCTACCCGAGAAAGTTATAACTTGCGATGTGCTGATTGTCGGTGGCGGTGCAGCTGGTCTGACTGGTGCTGCAGCAGCCGGAGGGCTCAAGACCATCCTGGTTGAAAGGCAGAAAGCGTTAGGAGGCAAGACAGCTTTGGCAAGCGGAATGATCTGGATGCCGGGAAATCGGACTGTCAAATCCTGTCCTATATTGAAGCCTCATCAGCTTACAGGCTACACCTTGCAGGCCAGAGCATATGTCGAGAATGCTGTTGCGATGTCCGATGAACACGGCAACGGCGCCTTGCCCACAGCAGCCACGAAACGCATAGACGCGTTTCTGACCAAAGGGCCCGAGATGATTGACTTTCTACGTGCCCGCGGGTTCAGGTGGATGAAAGCGCGCTCAAGCTTCCCCGATCATCAACCCGGGCTGGATGAGGCACTGTCAGCCGGCGGCCGTACGCTCGATCCGGCCGTCTTCGACATAGAATCCCTAGGTTCACTAGGGGAATACCTCTCCCATGAGGGTGAGGTGCCTTTGGTATTCAGATTTGAGGACTTTCGTATATTGACACGCCCGTTTGCATCTCTCCAAGATTTCCTCAAGATCGGCCGAATGCGCCTGAGGTCTTTGCTATGCTCTCTCTACTTCAAACGCCCGGCATCAATGGGACGGTCGCTCGTTGGACAACTTTTATCTATCTGCAGAGATAACGGGAGCATCGACATATACACCGAGACGGAGCTTGTTGGACTATGGCACGAGGGTGGCACGGTCGTTGGCGTCTCGCTGAAGAAAGGAAAGGAGACTTTCAAAGTTCGAGCACTACGCGGCGTGCTTCTGGCCACAGGCGACTTCGACGAGTGCCGGGGAGTTTCGGATATTGAATTTCCATCAGGCGGCAACGAAGACAACACTACGAATGATCCTCAGGACAGCATTGGACATGTGGTGGCCCTGTGCCAGAGTATGGGGGCAGAGGCGTGCGTGACGCGTGAGGTCAGGGGAACCCCGACGATGAAGGGGCTACGCACGGGCAGAACGACTCACGCGATATTTGAGATCTCCAAGCCATTCTCCATCGTCGTCGATAACCAAGGGAATCGGTTCTTCGCGGAGTCCAAGCCGCATGGCGATGCGGCCAGGTCCATGCGCGCCAGGGCCGACGCACGTCTAGCCCAGGATGCGAGGGCTTGGCTAGTTTTGGACCAGAACTATCGAAAGAGGTATACGCTGGGTGGTACCCATCGATGGACTGACATTACAAAAGCTCTTAGCGAGGGCATCCTCCTGGAAGCGGATACTATTGGCGCCTTGGCAGACAAGATGGGCATCGCAAGGCAAGCGCTCGAATCCACCATCCGACGCTGGAACGAAATGTGCGGCTATGGAACGGATATCCATCATAAAAGAGGCGACGATGACTACCAGAGGTTTATGGGAGACCCTAGAGTTGCGCCGAATTCCTGCATGGGAGCCATCGAGCGCGCTCCGTTCTATGCCGTTCGGATTTCTACCAGCGACGGTGGAAGAAAAAAGAGGCTCTTGACGGATGAGCACGGCAGGGTTTTGCAGTCTGATGGGAGGGCCATCCCGGGTCTCTATGCTGCGGGGGACACATCCGCTTGCGTTCTGAGAGCCACATCTCTCGGTGCTGGCGGAACTCTTGCATCGACCATGGTCTTTGCCTACACTGCTGTCCAGCATATGTTGTCGCAATCCCACGGCAGCCCGATGAGCTTGAACCAAGGGCTTGTAGACGAGAAGACCATTGACGTGAGCGAACTAGAGCGGAGCAAGCATTGACTAAATAGAGTTTCCAATTAGCGATCATGTAATGCCTGAATTAGGGGTCTTATGCTAAATGGCAATCATGCGGTGAAATGATGGGATCATCAAATAGCAACCCTTCCGCTCCCCCTCTTTTCTTCTTCTTCTTTCTCCTCCTTCCCCTCCTTTTTCTCCCCCGTTTGATTCCCCCTGTCCTGCTGCTCTTTGCTTTCCCTGCATGCTTAATAACGCCCCTGCAGACGGAGATAGAGTGAACCTGGGTTCTTTTTCTCATCCGGGCATCTTACCTGCGCCCCCGGTGAAATGTCTTTCAGAGTAGAAGCAGAACAAACCATTAGGTTCTAAGGTTCTATAGACTCGGTCTCTGTCTCGGCTTCCGCCCATTTGCGACAAAAAGATGCATCAGGCGTCCTAATCCTAGTCTGCATCATCATCGGAGCCGTGCCAGTCTTTCCAACTTTTGATCTGATCTTGCATGAGTTCCTGGAACGAAGCCGTGCCCTGTTTCAGCCTTGTCCAGGATTCAATTGGCGGCCCATCCCACCAAGCTGTAATATTGTACGGTTCGCCAATGTAATCATCTCTCCAACCATTCATTTCTTCCTCTTCCAGCCGCATTTTCCAAATGCTAAAGCGATCTTCAAATTTATCGATCAATTCTTGAACAGCTCCTGCCATTTTCCGAATCGTATCCTGTGTTTCATAATCGCTGCCATCCAGTGCTCCTTTCGCCCAAATCTCCACCTTCAAGCTCTCGATGTTGGTGAATTCAAGCGAACGGCGCAGGTATTGGGCTATTTTCGAGCCGTCCATTCGTCGCCGATCGACTCGAATGATGACCCTTCGAACAAGCTCTTCAACAGGGACGGCATCGTCCCATTGTCCGAGCTGATCAGCTAGAAACTTTCCGATCCAATCTGCGGAAAAGACAAATTCTGTCCGTTGGTAGAAGAAATGCCGGGCTTCTTGAATCAACCGCCGTTCCATTTTGCCATGTCCAATGTGCCGATCGAGCACTTTGAAGGAATGGAGAAACTCGAAATGGGAGACTTCGTATAGAAAAAAATCATCCAAAAACGATCCGTCACATTCCTCAAAGAGCTCCTCCCACTTTTTAGAGCGGGCCTCTTCTGGCAAAGCTGCAAAAGCTGCAACAGATGGTTGATCGAGCAATTCCAGCATTTCCATGTAGCCTAGAGGACCTGGCTCGAGTTCGCGTGACCGTAACGCCATCATTACCTGGAAGTTCAATACCGTTTTAGCCACAACTCTAAAACTTCATTCAACGGGAGGTTATGATTTCGGATATACCGTGGAAAGTTTAACTTACTTCTTGAGCGTTTTGAAGTTGTTCCCATAGTTCGTTCAACCTACCCGGCTGATGTAGTCCTTTAAATTCATCCTCCATTGTCGCACAGGCAGAAGGGCTTAATGGATTGACTGCTGAAAGAAAAACCGTCGAGGCTTGCAGCTCTATGGTCGGGGTGTAGAGATAATAATGCAAGGGCCTATCGGACACCCAATTTACAAGTGAGATCAATGTGGCAGTGGCTGCATTAAATACACCCAAGAAATCAACGAGATAACCTGGATCGGCAGCTCTGTGCACTAGGATGAGCCAGTATTGACCAGCCTATTATAACTCCTAAAACAGCCCAAGGTTGATTGCCGCTGCTCCCTGGCCTGCGGTTGTGTCCGATCGTGCCAACCATAAATCGGCCGAGTATAGTCAAGCATTCAAGGTGGTAACAATGACTTAGAAAAACCAGCCTGCACAGTTGGCCTGGAAATGACATTCATTTCCGAACTGACCATGTTTGGCTGGAACGTGAAACGCGTTCCATTTTCCAGACCTGTTGGGTCTGTGCCAACGATGTAGGTGTCGATGACTGATGTTCCTCCTCGATGCAAGGGCTGGTTTCTCCGTTACCCTCCGTCCTCAACGAAGAAGGATGAGTATCGAACCTCCTACTTCCAATGGATTCATCAGCGAGCTCCAACCCTACGTTCTATCCTTCCCTCAGATCATTACGACAGCTTCAAGGCTTGGCCTGAATTATACCTTACTATAACCTGCAATTTTTTACCATCATTGTAAAGTTGCATTGAAAGAACATGGCGTTTCACGTCACCTTGGCGCGAAACATGGTATTCCGAAGCTAGTTCTCTAAGGCGTCAATTCTCTCATATGCTCACTACATTTGATTTGCGTAGAGACTGTGAAGGCTCGCACAGAAATCGCAAAGCCGGGAGCTGGCTTGATACCAAAGATAGATAGGAACCAGGCAATGGGCAGGCGTTTCAAGCAGCGTTTTAATGTTATGGCTATTTTACAAAGTGCAGAACCAAACCTATCCCGGCCCAGCTCAACGGTTTGCGGAAGCGCAGTCGATATTCCCAAAAACATCGGGAAAGCACTCTCTAATAGGGGGGAGTTCCATCACTACCCGCTCTAAGCCCGCAGGGAAAGCTGTTCCCGGCCCAGCCTGATTAAGTCGACGCTCTCGATTGAAGGGCACCTTCGAGACCCTATCCGTCCGATTAGGTACCCCCGACGCTTGGTTTTCATTCGTGTCTTTGCTATGCGTTACGTGTCGTAGCCTGGACTTTGCCTGCGGCTGACTGCCTGGACGATTTTTAGCGCGCCAAATGGACATCATCCCCCGTTGGTGGGGATATGCGACTCGAGTCGGACGAGCAGCTGGTCCAGGCTTCTTTTCAGCTTGATCACCAGCTGTTATTCGATTGGTTCCTGATAGGTCACCTGTCAGAGGCGGTGGCATCTGATTCGATGTTCCGGGCAGGCACAACGCTGTCGTCGTTGGAGATGATTGTTGGGCTTGTTGCGGCCAGGAGGTTCCTCCTGCAGCTGCAGGAGAGGCTCCATACCAGCTCATGCGATAAATCTCGCCTTGGTTCTGTCTCTGGACCTCCAAGTCGGCAGGGTAGACAGGCCACGTTGGTAGTGACGCCAAATTGGAATGATGTTCCGGCTGCTGACGCGTGTAGATGGCGGGGCGGTGGTCTCCCCAGTGGAAGCCCGTTTTAGAAACCATCCCTGCGGGGCCGTGGATCGGTGGGCTGGCCACTCCATTCCTTGGTGCCGGTATTTGCTGTTGGCCATTCTTGACACCAAACGGTCGATATTTCCAGCCCGTTGCTGTGACGCTCCGGCATGCCATACTCTGAGGTTGGGCGGGTTGTGAGTTCATGGGACAAGGTTCGACTTGCGTCCTGGCCATTTCGTAAGGGTGCCAGTTAGCTAGAACGCCCCAAACAAAATGTGCGGCGGCTATGGTGTCGCTGGGCGGTCCAAGTACCTATTCGATGCAGAAAGAGGATAATTTGAGAAAATAAAGGGATAGATAGGAGTTGACTGAAACTTGGAATTGGGTGGGCGGCGGGCAGATGTCATGATTAGCACTCACGAATGGTCAGTTCGGTCTTTGCTAAACGGCTAAGCATACATGACTTGGTCAATAAGACGCTGTTTTGAAAACGTCTGTGGCAAGATTAGGACGTCAGCGCTATTCTCTGAGATCCGATATGGATGCTACCGGTATACTGCCTAAATTCAAGGCTATCTAGTTAACCTGGATGTGGAGTTTGGTACGGGAGAAACAAAAATAGCGATTTAGGGATTTTCACTTGCCCAAAAGGCTCTATGAGCCCCCCCAGGAAGGGAGCCGGGGGGTAGAGCAACCCAACTGAAATAATACAACTGTAACACAACTAAAGTTTATCCAGTACAGATACCTAAGCTTCAATATCACAATAGCAGGTCAACAAGATCTGCAAGCGCTATGGAAGATGCCGTGATAGCCTTGGGAGAGGGAAATAAGGTCGTGGTGGCCTTGAAAAAAGCTGCTTCTGAGATGGCGGCAACTCCCATCGTAAGGGATAAACGGAACTTTCGCTAGACTGCAACGCCAGCATTATGGGGACTGAACTGGGAGAGTTTCCCTGTGTTCATAGTCCCCCACACATCCAGCACCTAGCCATTTTTAACAATACGTTTGTTTCCAAGATGACAGGCAGCGCCTCTGCGAGTGTTAAAGCCCTTCTATAAGAGCTCTTGCGGATTATTGAATTTGCGCGAAATGGATTACTAGGCTGCAAATCCGGCTGTTATGACCCACTGCGGCCTAGACTTCCGACGTAAGATAGATCGATGGCTATTTCTCAACAAAGCAAACCCGCAGGGCACATGATATCCTACACTGGCTGCGGCCATGAGGACACAGATATCTCATCTTCATCCATGTCGTAATCCTCGTCATCTTCTTCACTCGAAGACAACCACAAACAGCGAAAGTCTTCATCCTCGCCAAATTCGCGACAGGGCTGGTTGTGCGTAAATAGAATGGAAATGGGGCTTGTACAAGGCATAGGGTAAGTCTCTGCTTTGTTCAAGTTCTCCTCACTGCCAGAGCCGGGTTCTGCTTCGAGATCCGCGGTGTGCTTGCCGGCGGGCTGGATGGATTTGCAGTTACGGATGGGAAAGTAAGTAGCCGGCTGTGTGGATGACTTTGGAAGAAAAGACTTCAGCCTCTTCCACCTGGTCATTGATCTCAAAGACCCCTGGGGCTTATCAGCCGAGCCTTGGCCGTTGTCGATCGTAGCATAATTACTGCGGTCCATGGCCCCTTACTCTAAGACAGAGCCCGCTTTAAAAGATTAAGAGCGCGTCTTATAAACTAATTCGTCTGCGGTCAGAGATGCATTCGTCTGATTACGGACCGTTTAGCTATATGAGCTTCCTCGCGGGTTGGTCAATTTCAACCACGTTATGTTGTTCTTGCGAGACCATCTTGTTTACCGAGTCATAGGTTGTTCTCCGTGGACACAAAATGCGCGGTCTCTGGAGTTTTAAGGACCTATGAATGGAGTTTGAAAGCTTAGTGTAGAAGACGAGTAACTAGATGCTATTATTATTGAGTAGTTTTTCACGGAGCCATTTAGGTTCTGGCTGTCTGTCCCGGTGCTAGAGCTACGATATCTAGTAGACCTTTAAACTCAAATTAAAACGTGATGATTGATGTACAATGACGCGTGATATAGCACTAATGACGAATTTCTTGTGGCAGTTAAAAGTCAGCCTCCTCTTTCTTACTATATTAGATGGCTATCAACTCAGCAAGAGGCCTGCAGTATTCCGGTCTCGGGTAGCCTTGGATGCATGGCAATAGGCTAGCATTGCATTTATCTTATCTTGCGGCGGGCCAGGGGATCAGTCAGGTCTGGCTTGTATTCTCGGCCAAACTTCCTAAACACTTGCTCGTTCACAATATTTACTTTGCAGCGGGTATTTCTAGCATGAGCTATAGCCATTTAGAATAATCGCAGCTAGCCCAAGCCAGAAGTGAGATCTTAATAACACTTCATACTCAGTTTTACCCTGATGCTTCTAATAGCACCATTCTAAAGGTTTACCCTTCACAGGGTTCAGGGCCACTACGCTCCACTGCACATCCGGGGGTGTGGGGTGGATGTGGGTGGTGACTAAGATCACGACGGTGGAATGGATAGATATGGATCCATTATGGATGTGAATCCACAATGTGGAAAGGATTTCCACATACCGGGGAAGGGAGTAAGTCCCGTGCAAAACTCAACCCCCGACAAATCGCCATTATTCCCTCCAAGGCTCTGCCGGTCTATGATCCAACTACCAATCAATCCTGCACGTAGCCAACTGCGTAAAGTCTGGCGGTTGCGAGCAGCATAATCGGAACAGCTGAACGGCTATTCCTGGTGCTGGACAGGGGACCAAAGTACAAGTATGCGTTGTCTTAGACCTGCTATATTAGTTAGTATGCACCTTCGGCTTCAGACTCAACCTATTAACTAGTGGCCCGGCGGCATTTGTAAAACCTCGGCTAAGATTTAGGCCCTGATCAGGAACGGGGTTCTGAGTGATCCCGACTTTGAGTTTTCGGGATAAATGTTGTCGAATTGCGCAGTGATGCTGGGTGTAATTGATAAAATCAAGGTTATTATTATTATTATCATGGTGAGAGCTCCCTAGAGGTTTATATCCCATGCGATTCCATCTAGGACTTTCAACTTTCAATCTAGGACTTTGTGATGTGACCCTGAAGTGAGGGGGAAGCTCCCAATTATTCCAACAGATAAATGCCTATCAGACGCACCAAGCTCAATCCAGCACCAGTCCCAGCAGGCAATAGAAGCATCAACTGTCCTAAGAGCATATGTGCACATAATGATAAGTCTCCTTCTCGCCACCTTCTCCCGCACGTTGCGGACTTGCTCAATGAGGTCAAAATTATGATGATCATACCAGAAATCGTGAGTCAAAATGATTCACCCCCGTGAAGGGTGTAACAGAGCGTTCACGCAACGGGGTTTTGGTACGGGACGCTGGCCAAGCTAATTTTATGCGCCAGCTTGTCCCATCTTGCAACGGGGATCTCTCAGAGCCCCGTTCCTGATCAGGGCCTTAAGGAATATCCACTGCATTCCACAATTCCCATATGTGGCCGGCTGCTGTGGAGTGGTAGTAAATCCACAACAGGGTCTGATGGAATGGAGTGTATCTGATATGGATCCATATGTGAATCTATATGTGGGTTTTCGTGGAGTGGCTTTGAACCCTGCCTCTGCCAGCGCTAGGGGCATAAGAGGTCTTGTTCTTGGCCCATTTTTGCCGTCGCAAGTAGGCATAAGATATCCGGCTTCGTTGTGACCGCTTCCTCATTCCTGAGCTGCCGCCAAATGGCCTGGGCGGGCAAGGACTTGTAGCGATACGGGTGGACTATCACGGGGTGAACGTGGGTATGGGTAAACAACGTAGTTGTGCCTTGAGGGAGGAAGTATGGAGATGCCACAATGGGTGGATGCTATGTACAGAGTGCGGGTCACATGCAGTTGGCAGGGTGATGCCGTGACATGGACTCTGGTTTTTTCATCTCCGTCGACATCAAAATCAGTGCAAGCCCACACGAAGGCGTGACACGAGTCTACTTATAGACGAGAAACTATCTGCGCGCTTAGCTACACTCATGATGTGTCACATGGCGGATAGGTCCAAGTCCAGCAATGGCTTCTTCATTGGAGGGTCAGCTGGCAGCCAACCGGGAATCGATCGATTCTTTCTTGAACTCTCTTTTTTGATCTATTTCAGACTTCTGCTCTAAGGGTGAGCAAGGCTCTTTCTACGGGCCCTAGCGTCCACGGCAGGACTTTGTGCCTAATCCTCTCACATATGGAAAGCCTCGAGGAGACGGCAATGAGGGGACGGCAACGGCAAGCAGGATATAAGAAATGGCAAGGTATCCCAAGCGCTCTGTTCGCTCCCTCCCCTCTCCCTAGCGCCGGTCGACCTTTATCCCTGCCGAGCGAATCCTCGAATCTGAAAAATGTGATTCGATGGCGTCAAATTATGTGGACAACCATGGGTCCTCGCCTGCCAGAGTCATAGATACAGAGAACGGAGAGTCAAACATGTACGCCAGGGGTACCAAGGACAAGGCCATTTCATGCTTCCCACACTTCTGCCGCCTTTCAGTCGAGATCCGATTGATGATCTGTGCCGGCATCCTTCGTCCAACGGTGGACCCCGCGCCGCTCGACACCTCTCTACTCACTCACCCTTCGTATTTCACTTAAGCCAGAACGGGGATCGACATGTTTACTGGTGCATGGGATTCTCTTATCCCGCCAAAATCTTGGTAGGGGCCCAAGTTCCAGCCTCTTTCAGCGATCAGGCCGACTAGAGCTTGTTGCATGGCCATCAGTGCCTCTTCCGGCGTACAGCGGTATGGAGCTTGAGTCGTGGTGACGGGTGGGTTTGGTGGTTGTGCAGAGTCAATTGGCGCTGGTTGCGATGCTCTGGTCGTCTCGTCGCTGGGGCTGGCCGTAGCCGGCCGGTCCGGTTCGGGAGCTACCTGTGGCGCTGACTCGTCGGTTGTGGTCGCGCTGCTGGTCTGCCGGTTTCCGCCAGCTGCTTCAGGAGGAGATGCAGCTGACGCAACGGCGCTGGTCGTAGACAAGGTCGCGGTGATCGCCTTCGGACTATGGCTGCCCGGGGGCTCTTGCAGCTCGCCAGCATTGCTGTGCATGTTCATGGCCATGTCGATGTCCAAATTCAGATCATTGAGGCCGTCCACGCCAAAGTCTGCCGTGCCCTGAAAGCCTGCCATGGACATGTCCATGTTCATCCAAGCGTCGTCGCCGGCCATCATCGCGCTGAATTCGTAGGGCGCTGGCTGCTCCTGGGGCTCTTCGAAGTGGATTGATTCGCCTGCTCCATCATGCGTGAAAGCTGCGCCGCCGTCTGCCGCCTCATAGGGCTCACGCCCGGCACCGTGTTCAATCGCAGGTGGAGATGTGCGTGGTTCCTGTTGGCGACGGAACACATCCTGGCCGTGATCCGCTGCGGAAACGGCAAGAACAGTCGGGGCAATCTCTTCGTCGACGCAGTCGTCCTCGGGCTCTTCGTGTTCATTGTCATCGCAGTTGTCCAGCGGTCCAACGATCGGTGACGCAGGGGTACCCGGCAGGCTCCATATGCTCGCACCTCGATCCCCAAGTACTGACTCGCTTCCCGCAACTGTGATCTGCGTGAGGGCTGGGGAGGCGTGTGATGCTCGCTGGGCATCCGCAGGTGGCTTTCTGCGCCGCAGGTTGCGCTCCGTTGTCTGCTTTTGCACTTTGTAGGGCTTTGGCTTGGCCATCTGCTTCCTTTCTTTCGCCGTGTGTCGGACGAGCTCGCCATCGGACTCGGACACGACTTGTCTTTTCAGTATATCTCGTATCTGTAGCCGCCAGCATTATTAGCCATCCGCCGGGGAAAAAAAACAAAAGGTACCATTGTGGCTTTGTGCGTACGATTGCGTTCGCCTCTGGCAGCGGTTCACCCTCTGGGTTGTAGACTGAGCCGTCCCAGAAGTCGTGGATCTTGTTGTAAAAGAACAAGATAGCCGTAGTGTTGCATTCTTTGCCAAACTTGTAATTCTTGTGTATCGCAGTCATGCCTCTCTTTCGCATCGCCTGGCCCACCCACGCAGGATCCCATGGTCGAGGCCCTTTCGGACGAGACTCTGCTGGAACAGGGTCTCCTGGATGCTCCCGTCTTAGGCCGGGCTCTCTGGGGCGAGACTCTCTCGGGCGAGAAGACCCCCTCGAACGAGGCTTCCTGCAGGCCATCCCGTGCAGTTGACGAAGATGTTTTTTGGCGGACGTTTCTCCTCTTCCAAGAGCGAAAACAACTACCACCTCAACCCATTTCTTTTCGGTCATCTCGCCGGTATCGTGCCCAGTTTTTGAACAGTCGTGCGGAATCGTCTAGGTGCGATATCGAGTCTCGAAACGGACGGCCGCTGTCCCCGACGGGCCATTGCCAAGGTTGACCACTGTGAAGTCCATTCTGGACGACCCATGCCCTCTGTCGCCAGCTCAATTTCGCCATATTCGCTCGTTACCAGAATGTCGGGACGGTGTAAAGGTCGAGATAGGCCAGAAGATGGGAGGGGAATATGAAGGAAGTCCACATTGGGCGTGTTTTAGAACCAACAGTAAGTGACAGTCGGCGAGGGTCCTTTCTCCCCCACTTGTCCCCCGCTTGCCTTGTTCAGTCGTTTTCCGATCCCTGTTGGGGTACGTGCTTGACCAGATCTAGATCGGCCGTTGCACTCGCGCATCGAAATCCCACTTTGCGATTGAATTGCGCGGAAGACAATCCCCTACCCTCCGGTGCCCACTTGGTGAAAGCAACGAAGCGAAATGCCGTATTACGGCTGAATCGGTGCAATCACTGGTCATCACGGGGAGGACTTCCGACCAGACTACATCTGTAGCGTCTTCATCGGCCTCGGAATAGTTCCTACACCCACCTACGATGCCCTGTTCCGGTCACGTCAGCTAGTAACGGCCGGTAGCGGCCTCACTAACTTAGCTGCCTGTGCGCATGGAGCGAGATCTTCAAGCCGGCTGAACCGCGGCAGTGTCGCCATCGAGCAGTTGCACCGGCTCAGGGCCGATACACGCGCCACTGGCACCGCTATAGCCACCAGGAGGCCTTGTAAGCCGCTATGAAGAAGTGAAAACTTGGCTCTCCGTTTCGCATGCTCAATTCTACATTGTCAGGGAACGGGCTCAGACATGGCATTTGTGCACCCCAGGACAATTAAGTGAAATAGAGGCTCCCATAGGCGACAGGACTCTACGGAGATTAACCCACCCCACTGTTCAGCAAGACAATATTTCGTGCATCCTCACTGTCTCATTTTGGCTGTTGCGTTGCATCTCACATACGGCATTCTGTCACCTTGACCTCTTTCGCCTTTAAGAAAATCTCCACAAAGGATCCTACCTCATTAGTGGGACCGCCCACCTCGCGGAACCGGACATCTTGGAAAGCATCCCCACACATGGTTGTGAAGATGCTCCCTTCCACTGCGACGGAGAGCTGCAAAGGGCCCGAGATGCCGAATTAACCCCCGAGCGTTCCTTGAGATCAGAGCTGCGTGTCATGCTCAGATCTGGCCATGTGCGCGCGGCTCCGCAGCTTCGTTACGCACAAAGCCCTTCTCAAGGGCTCGATGATCCCTAGTCCCTTACCCCGAGAATCAGGTCCGTAGCGCCGAGTAGTTTAAGCAATTTCAGTGTGTGTATTTTGGTATCGTATATTCTCGACCTCATGGTCAAGCTACCGAACTGCTCTCTTTTCTGGAGCCTTAAAAAAAAAAAATAAAAAAAAAAAAAATAAGAGCAAGTAACGTGACCGCGTCTACATGCAGGTGTTGCAATGCAGGTATGACAGCCGAATCGAACCCTTGCGCAGCACGCACGATCGGCGGGGTGGTATGTCGTTACAACGGTCAGAAAACTCTTTCCCAGGATCCCTGTATGTCCACGAGTCGTACGGAACGAGGCCCTTCTTTTTCGGCTCTCTGCCACAGCACGCGTTGATAGACTAATTCAGTGGAGAAAAGTCAATATTGGTTTCCCTGCGCTTTGCCCTCCTTCCTGACTCGGTGCCTCCGACTGTCCTCGTAATCTACGTGACCTGTCAACTTTCATGATATGGGACAATCTACATCGATTTGTCATTTCGTAGCCACATTAAACATCATCCATCGTTGCGGCTGATTTCCGACGTGATGATCAGTCCCGCCTGTCAAAGTCAAGTGGCCCTGGCTGCAACTGCCGTTTCTATTGGAGCCACTCTAATTTCAGCACTTCTCCACCCCGGCCCGTCAAGGATGAGTTCCCCGATAGGACCGCCGAATTCGCCGCTTTTCAGCTTTCGGCGTGGCAATGATACCCCGGCGCGAAACGGCGGGCTTTTTTTGCCCTTCCAATCCGAGCTACAGAGAAGAGCAAGTAATGGAGTGGGGAATAGCACAACACCGGTCAGTTGATGGGTAAAAAACTCGCAGCTCGTTTTACAAACAATGGCAGCTCCGGCGCGTGCGGGTACAACAGCCAGTTTCTGCTCTTCTTGGGTGAGGGGACCATACAAGACAAGCAGCTGCCCGAGCCTGCCAAGAGCCATCCTTGAGGCTGCATCCGGGACTCCTGCTGTGCATGTTGGTGGGGTTCATCATTACCGGTTCAAGCTGTACCGCACAGCCGAAGTAGGTCGACAAGTATATATTTCGAATGCTGCTGATTGCGCCCGATAATCGAGCAGTTTCATGCCCTGCTTCTTGTGTCCATTTTTCCTAAGCATAGTTTTCACTCCTAATTTCGACCGTGCATCTCGTCATGAAACATCCGCGAAAGCATCATGACTCTCGTGCACGACCATACCCCCTAGCTCGGCATCGGAGAGCCCGGACGTCACGTGTTCGGTCTCGTCACTTTCAAGACATAGACCCACCTAGGTCGACCCATCCGAGACCAAAGAGAGTTGCCCGGCGTGCGGATCACTCCGCCAGCGATGATCGAGGAGGAGACTACGGGCCGCGGTCTCGGGCTGAGCAACCCGTAGAAGGTGAAAGCCCTGACTATGAATCCGAAAGGTTCGTTTTATATCAGCATTAAGAACCGCTCTTATAAGCACAAGCTGAACAGACAGCAGAGGTGATTATGGTGGCCATTATGATGGCGGCTCTGCCAGCGATTCTGGCGAGGAGAATACCAGTCCAAGTCATTCGGAGCTGGAGCAGATCAAGGATCTGATTGTTGGGTCTCGCAGAGATCAAAGCGAACGGTGATTCTCCCCAACACCCCTCCCATCTGGGTTGCCCTTATTGCCACATTCAAAGCATCATACGGCTGACTCTTTGTTTTTCTTAGGTTTCTTGAATTGGATAAGAGGTCCGTACTCTGAATAATGCGAGAGATCTCGCGTTTCCCCCTCTCTATGCTTACCGTTATACAAACAGAACGAGGGAATTGGCTCAGCAGTACGTGTTAATCCTGCAGAAGTACGTATCAATCGTGGACTTTCGCTTTCTTCCTTTTTTTTCTGACTAAGTTGTTTGCAGGGTCTCCACATTGCAGAATATGTGAGTCGTCACCTTTATCTAAGGATATACATCAAGAGGCTAAATGTTGCAGAATACAAGAGCTGCCGCAGGCATTAGCCGCCAGATTTTTATCACCCCTTATCCAGCGGACGTTCTCTATAACACAAGAAAAACAAGACCAAGCGCATCATGGAGGGACGGGAGAAGGTGGAACAATAGACCCAATGGAGATGTTTGGCACAGGCAACGAACCTTTTGGTTGAAGACAATACGATAGTCGAATATCGTGACGGTATGTTCAACAGAGGATGGCTTTCGGTTTGAGTTTTTCTCATGTAGACGAGAGGTCGATGTCAATGTCTCGTATTATGCTCGTGACATATTCTAAGACAAGAAGGTCCAAGTGCCATGATATATCTAGTGTAGAACAGCGTAACGTTCTATCCAATCCGTTAGATAAATTTACCACGAATTTTCGAAGTGCCTATGATTGCAGACATCTTCCAATTTCTGGTGACTAGATGAGAATCAATTTAGTATTAAACTATAGATACATGAAAAAAAAAAAAGTGTCTTGCTCGTGATGTTTTGACATATGGCCTTTTCTCATTTTCTCTCCATTTTATGATCATCCATCTATGGTTCATCAAATTTTACCTAAAAGATAAGCTTAGTTGTGATTGCACTTTCATTGCTTCACTAGCTAGAACGGATTTTAACAGCGTAAACTCGCGAATAGTTAATAGTATGAAGCAGGATGACCCTCGTCTTCCGAGCCATGCCCTTGGCCGTGTCCAGGCCAGACTATCTGATCATCTTGATTGATTGGTCGCCGCTCTTCATCCTTCGGCGCCTCAGCAACCAGCATTTGACGCGATTGTGGAAGCAGCTCTGGCGGGGTGTTCAACGGAGAACTAAAGGCTTGAGGCTGAAATTCGATCCTTTCATCAATCATAAAGGGCGTTGACTAAGGTCCTCCTTCGCGTTGAACTTGAATGATTGTCTCTAGTAGCTTGATTTGCTCTTCTCCTAGGCTGACTAATCAGTGCTGCGACGAGACGAGGGCCTCGTTATGACCTCTTTTTTCAAGGTTTTATACTCTTCTAGGAGCCTCTCGTTCTCTACTGCCAGAAAGCGGTTCCGGCCGTGTAGAAGTCGCACCAACTGACGGACTTCCGTCGAAGAAGGGGCCATAACATGAGGAGGCGACGCTGTACCGAAGGCTGATGGGTTTGCCATCATCTAACAGGGCGTGGGCAATGATAATGTGAAACTTGAATGAATAGATTCTGTTGGCTCAATAGAAACTTTCCTGATCGAATAGATATTCATAAGGAGACGGGATATATAGGTCACCGTATGATACACTGGCTCCGTTCACTTACCAAGGATGTAGGTTTCAAGGTCCGAAAATGTCTTCTCTTTGCGATTTACCTCAAATTCTGGAACGCTTCGACGTTCTGGTCCAAAACTTCTGTCTTTAATTCCATAGAGAACTGTCGCTTCCTCAGTATAGCATTTGACCATTTGCATTGCCATGTCTCATGATGTCGATTCACCAATCTTGACTTGTTCTACATATCCTCACAAATATTAGGTCTGATTGTAGCAGTGGAAATTGAACAATGGTAGGGCAATAGCTTTGGGAGTCAGTTGGGTAGTTACGGCCTAAGTTGGAACTATTGCTTAGTACAGCCAGAATAAGCTACCGAGGTGAGATTACAGTTCTATTTGTACCTAAATACTTAGCGCTATGTGATAATTCACGGCAGATGACCCGCAAGCATTTAAGTCAAGGGCGGAACCAGCATAAGTGTCTGATAAAACTTGCCTCGCAATTCAACCCACATAGTTTGGCACTCGCTAGTAGTGATCAAGAAATCAAAAACTATGGCTTTCGGCACCAGCGGAAAAGGAACGAGTCTATTTATCATTCAGCTTTGTTGCTTACTCCTAGTGTGGATCACCGCAATTCTTCGGGCATGGGTAGGGATAATTAGAAAGTCATGTACTATGGATGACTGGTTCATGTACTTGTCTGTTGTAAGTTACCTCGATGATCTTGGCTTCTATCTTTTGATTAAGGGTATACGTGGATTCCTCTTCTTGTCCTATGCCTCCAGTCACTCTGAAGTAGCCCGAGGAGAAGCTTTGAAAACGGGAAAACTAGAGCTGATCTGAGCTAGGGTCTTTATACTAGCTTGGCCATCTTTGTGTTTCGAGGCACGGTTGTTGGTGGCATTGGCAAATACACGGACAATCTCACCATGCAAGAAGCCATCGTGGGTATGCAGTCGTGGTACTTCGGCGAGCTCATCTACGGAGTATTGTCGATCCTAGTAAGGGTCTCTATTAGCCTGTATATTCTTCGGATTTGCAGAAGCAGGACGCCTAAACGAATCATCTATGCGAGCTTGACTATTGTAAGCGTAGCATCCATCATTTACTTCTTCGCCAGCTTGTTTCAGTGTTCTCCTCCAGCATACTATTGGGAACAGTTCCGTAGCATCAACAACAAAGGCTCATGCGAAAGCTCTCGCGTGACTACTACTGCGATAGCCCTGAGTGCTATTGCTGGCATCAGTGACTGGATCATTGCCTTGATGCCGGCGGTAATTCTTTGGAACATTCGCATCTCGCGGCGGTCGAAAATCATCATCATTGGACTGACGAGCCTCGGAGTTTTGTAAGTGGCCTTTAGTTGATAACTGCCAGGTGGTAGACTGAAACCCCGACTAATGCGACGAGCAGAGCCGGTATTGCTATTATTATTCGGATACCGTTCATCAAGGGCCTAGAAATCACCAAGGAGTTTTTGTATAAGACGGTGTGAGTTCCTCCTATCCATTCTTCTTTCTTTGATACTGAGAGTCGTTCTGGGGCAGGGATGTGGCCATCTGGACCGTTATTGAGCCATGCCTGGGAATTGCGGCTGGGTGTCTAACGAGCGTCCGTCCTCTTTTCACAGCTAAAACACGAAGTATGAACCACCATAATTCTTAAAAGGGACGGCACGCAAGCCCATAAGGCTATAGCCCACCTAACCGGACAGCATATAAGTTTATAGAGAGGTTTCCCAATGGACATCAACAGGTCGTGCGGCTTTAAAGCCAGCAGAACAATACGATACCATGCACAACCACCCTTTTTCCAGGCAAAAAAAAAAAAAAAGCACCACCAAAAATCAACAAGTTCACTTACACAGAACTTGGCCAAATTGATAGGTGCGTGCAAGAATTTGCGTCCTGTGAATAATAGAATAATAGTTGCATCCCTCTATTGAATCCTGGGTCTTTTGATAAGCCGCCCTGACCGCGTGGTTAGTTGATGGGGTATGGTTTCCTCTGGCTTCAATGACCGACGCAGCCTCCGATTCTGACTCCGGCTCCCCTGAACGGCCACATTCCACCGCAACAGGCATATTTTGACTCTCCTTTTCGGATATGGCTTCCTCAGCAACTAGAGTCTCGCCAAGAGTCATAAAACGTTTGTTAGGATTCGGCACCGCCTTCCTCTTCTTCCCTCTCTTCAGGCGAGCCAATTCCTCCTCCAGGCTAGCAATCCTCGCACTATGCGCCGCTACCGTCTGCTGCTGAGACTCAAACCCCTTTGCTATTATGTTATACCGTCCTCGTGTCTTTGGTGTTTTGTTCAGCCCAAGATCACGAATTTGACGGCTCGTCTTTGGTGTATCGTCCGAATCAAAATACGGCCTGGGTTCGGGAGTCGCTCTTGGGCTGCCATCCGGCCCATCTTGTTGGATTTCCGGGTGCCGCAGCGCTTTGGCATGTGAGATGGGCCAATTACCAGTAACCCTCCGGCCAGAGAGTATGTTCTTCTCAGTCATTCCAACTCGACGAGCCTTGGCGTAGGCCCTGATGAAATTGGCCTTGTCCATTGGAGTGGAATCAATCAACGAAGCGAACTTTTCCAACTCTCGTCGATATGCGGCTTTGGAGGCATTGAATACTCCATTGCCCAACGGCTGGGGCCCATCCGAGCAGTGTGCTGGCAGATAGCAACAATAAACGTTGTTCAAAAAGCACGTGGCCATCCATACATCCTTCGGTCGCTCAGCAGTGATCTTGAGCTGAAGAAAATGAAGAAGATACCGTTGCATGACTCCCATGACCATCTAAAATGATCAGCCTCGCATCAGAGTCGTCGGCAGGCCTGGTCTGGGGCAGATAGACTCTTTCAAGCCATTCAACGCCAATGTGGTCGTCAGTCCACCCGTTAGGCGAAGTTATGTAATACCAGTCTGCTATCTTCTTAAATTCCTCAAGATACCACTGTTTCTGCAGTTCTTTCCCCTTGAAGATTATTCCAGGGATTAAGACGCGGCCATCAGCAGTGACAGCTTCGATAAATGAAGTCCAGTTTCGAGTTTGTGGTCCCTTGAGAAATGCCTTCCGCCTTGGGTCCGCGCTTCCAACAACCGGCCTATCTAAGCCTAAATAAAAAGGATTAGTCGGTCAAATTTCAAGCACTGACAAGGTATACAGATAGATGCTTACCGAAACCAGTCATAATACCCCCTTCGTCAACGTTGACGGTGTTTTCAGGCTTGATCCTGCCATACTGGCCCTCCCTGATATCAAAGTACCAATGAACTGCCTTAGGCGTGAAAGAGTCGAACTTTTTGGCTTCTTGGCGTCTGCCCATCTTGGCTGTCAGGTCTGTGCGGCGCTTGATAAATCTAGTCACCCAATTGCGTCCTAACTCGGGGTGTTCGCCCTCCTGTCTCAACAGGCCCATGACGCAAGCGCGGATCCGATTGTGGGACGGAGCATGGCCCAGAGATTCCTGACGGAGGATCCAGGAAGCCAATCTGTCCTCTTGACTCTTGGACAAACGTCGGCGAGGCTGAATCTGTTCTTTTACGGCTGTCTGGCCGTTAAGTCTGCCGATGAGAGTCCTTCGGGGCACTCCCCGCCTCTCAGCCCCTTGAGAGGGTGAAAAGCCATTATCAGTAATATCCAATATAGCCTCAGCCATGTCGTCCTCTGTATATTCCCATCGAAGCCGCGAGATAGACATTTTTTTCCCGCTGTCAAAGGCAAAGACCAAAAAACACGAGACAGAGCGGTGAGGAGCTTGGTGATTAAACTGACAATATTTCAAAAGCACGGCCTGTATATATCGCGTACCCCGCACAGCCATACAGAGTCAAAACACTTACCTCCAATCATTTCTATAATCAATAGAGGTAACTTCTTTTAGGTAGCTATTTAATTTTGCCCAACTTTCGTGTAAGTGAAATTGACGAGTTTTGGTGGTGCTTTTTTTTTTTTTTTTTTGCCTGGCGAAAGAGTGGGGTTGGCGAAAGGGTGGTTGTGCATGGTAGGGCCTCTGGGCCACTTGTAATAGATCCCCCCATGTGGGTGAGGCTTGGTTTCATGACCAATTTGTTTTGGGAGTTGGAGTGGTCTGGTGTTCTATGAAATTGGTTGCAGAGCTGTAGTTCTATTTACTTGATGACCTCACTATTGGTGTGACGTCTCAGGAGTGAGGTATACAGCCCTCCACCGCTTGGAGCACAACCTACGCGATAAGTGAGTTGGACAAGAATCGCCACTCTCACCATACCATATGAAATAAAAACACTATACTCCTCCTCAGATATGACAGCAACTATCTGGCATGCTATGACTGATCTTTCCGCATGTTTCTTCCACAACGCCTTCGGCAACCCCAACTCTCCTCGGCCATCACCTCTAGGCGACTTGCTCATTACCTGCCCATCAACATCCGTATCGGTTGGTGACGTGCTCCCAGGCGCCTCAATCACAGCGTTGGTTTACTGGCCTACGTGTAGGCCTGCGGTCTAAGCGCCGCACGACCGCGCCAAGAACAACTTTGAGGATGTCATCGGCTGTCAAGACATTTTTCCCGTCCGACTCAGTAGAGCTCCAAGTGGCCGTGTCGACCATGTCACGGATACCGAGAGAGGTGAGATCATCATCCAACTCGCGAAGAGCGTTGGCTGCCCCGCTGTGGTTGCCGACCTGGAAGAACTGTATACCAACCTGGTGAGGAGGCGCGCCTATCTGGTCGAGCTTCTTGGCGTAGTGCACAATGATGCCCTCAGGGTCGTCAGTGGGACATCCGTCAGTGATAACAATGATATTGAGGGGCTTGGTATCGTCCATATTCCCAGGCTGGTTGGCCAGATGGGCAACATATGGCTTGAGGATGCTGTCTAGCCGGGCACCTGTGGGAGTGGCACCGCAAGGACGAACGGACGCAAAGAGGCGCTGCACTTGACTAGCATCGCGGATGTTGGTGTATCCACAGGGAGCTTGGGTGCTGCTACCCGAGGACCAAGAGCGATGATTGAGGAAGTAGATATCAACACCGTCCGGATCATGGGAAGTGCAGATGGAAGTGATGGTGCCAAGGGCATCGCGGACTTCGCGCCATGAGCGGCCAGCCATGGACCCAGAGTCATCAATCACGAAGACGGTGTCAAATGTGGAGAGGAACGCATACTTGTCCTCGGAGCTGGTGACGCCAACAAGGCTAGAAGTAGATGATGTGCCATGATCAAGGGCGCTCAGAGGTGGTGCCGTGGGACTGGTGTCGACGGTGGAATATGGCGGGGGAGCATCCTGGGCTGGGGCATGTGGTGTTAGCGGGGGACATCGACCTATGCGTGTTTCATGAGACTGCGGGGGACTTACAGATACCTGGGGAGAGATGCTTGTTGTTCACATTGGCGTGGATTTGTCCAATTTTGCGTTGTGATGGGGTCTGCGAGGACACTGGGGATCGGTCTCGGCGCCGGAGCTTGTCTTTAAGGCGATTCAACATCATCTTCGGTGATGGAAAAGACTGAACTGTTGATTGAGGCATCTTGGCTTCCCCCGGCTCTCTGACGAACGTGCAGTGTAAGAGGCGTGGTCGACGCAGAACAATTGGGTGTTCGCAAAAGGCTTGGTTGGAATGACTTGGTTTTTGATCTGTCCGCAAGGCTTGTTTTTGAGGCGTTAAATGTACTCATGATTCTGCGGCTCGATTCACGGATGAACGTGTCACTATTTATATAGGTACAGGCCGAACCAGGCGCATACAGGCTTGATCACGATCTTGAGGGAGTCGCCACGGCCGATTCTGCCTCGGAGGCTTCGCCGTTATTGCACTCCCATCTAGAGGGGGAAGGGGCGATTACCCTGTAAAGCATGATTAAGGGACCGTTTCAAACTTTAATCATCAGAGTGTGGGTAGCATGAAACCCTGGACGATATCTTACGGGCATCTTGCAGCCTAGGGCACCGATATTTAGGCGACCGCGTGGCTTGCTGGCCTGATTCTGTTGGTTGTGACGATATCTGCGTCAAAGTCTCTCACCAAGGTCGTTCTCTTCACCTCTTGCGCATTGATTCGTCTGGGGTGCTTATGGCCTTTTTTGCGATGCTTAGAACTACCCCGGCTTCGGCACATCTGCTACGGAAGACCCCCAATCCGGAGGGGGAATACACATGACGTATGATGTTGTAGATGCTTCAGAATGCCATCATCTACTTGACAAGGGTAAACCCCCACTGTCTGCTACAAATAGCATGAACTACGTTGCATCTTGTCTCGGCCAGCTGATCAGTTGGGTTGCACAAAACTACCAATTGGACAACATCAGCGATCCTATCTGCAAGCACGGGGTAGATGAAAAACGCCATCTAGATCTAGCTGTCAGCAATCAACCCACCTGTCCAAGCGGGTTAGGTATCACCACGGAGCTTGGACTAAGTGCATAAAACATTGCATATGGTACGGGTGAGATTGTTACCGCTTAGAATAGACCAGACCAAGGTTGGAGTCGAATGATGGGGTAGTAGTACTGTAAGTCACCAATGTTGCGATTTCTACACGCGTACGAGCTCGACTGACTGCATAGGGTTGTTCCGATTAGCAGCAGAGTCCATATGGTGGAAGAACTAATTTACATATCGATGGCTCTTTGATAGATACTGGCAGTGCAAAGGTGGTACGGAGCGTATATAGACAAGAGCACACAAGGCATGTGACGAACCGTGAGGCTTGTCACAGAGCACGATTGTTTGGATGACCGGACAACGATCGGGCAGAAGGTCCCCTGTGAATCGGGCAACGAAAGACTCTTGGTTTTTCTATCCAAGGGAGCGACGGAGGTCAGTCTCTTTATACCTATGTTCAATCCGCTGATATCGTAATTAGGCAGCAGGCTGCTGCCTGATGCTAGTTGTGGTTGTTCAGCCTCATCGTGATCCTTGCCTGATTTCTTTCCTCATTCCAACAGTAACGACTGGCCGTAGCCTGCCAGGCAGCGACACTATTGTCTACTGTATGAGTGAGCGGCTTGACGTTGACAAGGCTTCAGTTTGATGCATCCCTTTCCAACGTCGAGGACAAGCACCAATAGATCACGACCATGACGAGCCAATTCATGTTTAGAATAGGTAAGCAGTGCCTATAGACACCGTAGAGAACGCCGTAGTACTTGGAAAACTAGTAGATTGAAGACATGTATAGGTAAGAAGCTGACCTTCGCGCCCCCTCCGATTACCCATGTCCGATCGGCAAGCTGTAGCGACTCGGCCCCCGAAACAATCCCCTTTATCAATGTGCGTCATGTCTCCGAGTTGAAACAAAAGAACATGTGCGCATCTTTGTCGTAGTCATTGATGATACTATACTCATTACCTATCACCATAATTGCTGAGTATGAAGAATCTTGCATGTGGGGAAAATGGCGCAGACATACCTCTAGGAACAATCCACGAACTCCCTTTGCTGATACGGAACGATTGTTGCTCCAACTCCACACATACCTTTCCAGAATGAAGAAAGAAGACTTGTTCTGATCCACGGGTATTTTTTGCTTCTTTCCTTTGACCAGATGGCAAGTGCAATATGCCGAAGCTCATGGGGGTTGGGGTGTCAATCCTTCCAAATTGAAAATTCCGTTTTGCAGGGTGCGTGCTCAGGATCGCTTCGCTGGTGAAAGCGACCTGCCGTCGGTTGGTGTACACTGATCCATTGACATCCGAATTATCGGCTTCACGGTCGGCTTGCCAAACCTTGCAATTAACGCTGATGATACCACCAATCTCTTCCCAAGGTTCTCGTTTTGTATTGGTTATCGATTGAGATTTCTTTCTGGCGGATTTGCGGTGATTTCCCCCTCGTTGTCCGCCTGTAGATGAGTCTCCCTCCGTAGGAGCACGGATAACTTTGGTGATCGTAGGCAAGACGATTTGACCTCGCCCAGTTGCATCTGGGACGGATTCATACTCTCTCGCAACTGTATCGCCGCGCCAATCGTGTACAGGCGTATTACAAACTCTGCCGGATCTTGTCGTGTAAGTATGGCCCTCGGGTCTCACGACCGTCTTGGCTTTGCGCTGTCTCGTGCATTTACCGCCAAACTTGATTTTTTTCTTGGGTCTCCCTACTGGCCGCTGTTTAGGTTGTGGCCCTTGTGCTAACGCAGGGTTTACCTGGGCTGAGTGTGGCGTATTCGGAACTCGAGTGGCCGTTTTGCGAGGCTTCTTACGCTCCCGTGCACAGTCCGCCTCCTCCAGCCTGGATTCGTCACTGGAAAGATCTGGACTGGCTGACGAGAGAGTTTCAAACCGCCGCTTTTGAGAATTAAAGTCCGCTTCTGGTCCTTTCGACTGGCCAGGAGTAGTATTATTTGGCCTGCCTCTCCTTTGGGGCGGAACGATTCCTCTACTTGTTTGTTGCAGGAGCGTCCCCGTGGTGTCTTCATCGTAATTCTGTATTGTGCATGGTGAAGTGGGCCGCTCGGGTTCGACGTCTTTTGACTGCTGCGATGATGTTTGACTGTAATTAGTGGGAGCCTCTTTAAGATGCTGTAAGGTATCTGCGCTTGTGTGCCCGTGTTGACTGTCCTGGCACTCAATGCCTTCTTCGGAATCCTCGTTACCAGACATCTCCGGAGAAAAGGCTTCTGCGTTCGCGCAACCCTCTGTGTCATATCTTCCAGGGTCGTTCTGGGCCGCGTCGTTTCGTTCTGGAGGGGAGGAGGGGTAAGCAATCGCTGATTGGATCTGAGCTGGTAAAATCGGCTGGAGCTGCAGCGGCGAGGGTTCGGCGAAATGCACCATGTGAGCACTGGGCTCTCGAAATAAGAATGGATCTGGCTCATTGCCTGAGGTTTGGTTAATTTAGACCTTCCCGTTTGCCATTGTTGCAGTAGACAAACCCATTTCTTCGCCCGCGTAGTCGGCCTCAGCTCGTCCATTGCCATCGTCTTGGTTAGATTCAGGGTCACCATTCCTACTGGCTGCCAAAGTCGCCTGATCTGGTGAAGAGAAAAAAGCCCCCAATGGCTCCATGTCGTATTGATCGCGTTCATTTATATTTGGTGGTTGGATGCCGGTTTTCCTAGAAAAATCATGTCAGCGGAGTTGAGAAGACGGGCATCAATGCTAGGGCTCTTCAGCCACGAGAAGTGGTACTCACCGACCCTGAACTCCCAAGTTCCAGAAACCCGGCCCAGTATACTGATCGTAAGGGTTGTTTAGAGGGGACATGGTGTCGTGGTGTGCTCGATAGTTCTCAGAGGTTATGCTTTAGCAGCCCCAGGCTGATGTGTCCTCACAGCTTACGCAGGGGGGGAAAAGAAACAAACATTCATGAGCTGGTGGAACAGGAGCAACGGCCGAAATGTGCAGGAGTTACGGGGAGTTTTATAACAGTGGATGGTTTAGCCAAGCCAGACATGTCGAGTCACTTGACTAGGCGGAGGCACCGTACGGTAATCCCCCGTCGGTACGGAGTGGGGCTCATCGGCGAGGGAGGAGCCTTCTACTACACTGGCTTGGCTAGGCGGACAAGATGGGGAACCATGTACGTGGCCACTGTCGGTTCGGGGGTGACCAGAGCCTCTACGCGGCAAGGCAGAAGGCGACAAGACAAACCTAGAGAGTTCATCGGCCGTAATAATATTGCCATGCGCACGTATGCTTCGTCATTCTGACCTCGATATCTCTCTCATAAACAGCAATAACATGTTAAACATAATCCTATGGCCCCCAAGCGCTGTTCTTGCCCCACGTTGAAAACAGCAAAAGCATCCAGGAAGAGGGCCTAGAGATTCCAGCTCCAGATAAATGACGAACCGCCCGAGCTCCAGCTGTCACTTGAATTAGCGTTACTGCTGGAAGTGGTGCTGCGGTTCGCCTCCGAGTCACCGGAGGGCTTATAAGTCCCCCTCTTGACTGTTTAGAGACAGAAGGCTGCAAGGCCTCAGAGAAGTAAACCGAGCGTGAAAGAAAATTCCTGCCATTTTGTTGTCGCCTCGCCGTGTGTCCCGCCCCTGCAAATGGTCAATATTCGCCATCATATACCACTAAATCAAGGAGAACTAAGCGAGCTTCTGTTGGACAGTATGTACATGTATGCGGTTCATTGATCAAACTCAGTCTGTTCGTGTTGCGTTGGTGTGCTCGCGGAGTCCTGCCCCTGGGGGGCCTGGTTTGGTTGGAGACACACTGTCACAGTACAGCGTATTCAGGATCTTCACACCGCTACCTGTCCAAGACTTGCTCCAAATCAGCCACTCAAATAGTCCAATGGTGTTTCATCTTTTTGCAACCATGGGGGCGCTTCGGAGTCGCCTGATTGGTTCTAGAGAACAGGAGAGCCGACCCAGTCACGGGTTGCGCAAAATAGCAATGAGGAACGAAGCTTGAAGACAGTAGACGTGTAGAGGTACGGACTAGTTCATTATTCATATATTACGAGACATTACTTGACAACGAGAAGCGCTGTCTCAATCAACCTTGTCGCCATTCGTTCGGTGGTCCTCCATATGACGTCGCATGTTGTTTTCGCCCTCGACAATACTGCCGCATTGAGAACATTCCGGCCTGTGATTCTCTCTCCAATGTTCCTCTAGTTCATTTACCGAACTGAAGGACAAGACGCAGTTGGAAATCCCACACAGATGGCTGTCCTGATGATCGTATCTGTGGTGCACCCTGAATCCGCTTAGCAAGCTGCTGGTGCTGGTTCCAGAGATTCTACGTACCTCAAGTCCTCCACGGATGTCATGGATACTTCACAATTCATGCAAGGAACATTTCCTCCTACTGTCTTGTCGTGTCCGATGTTATGGCAGGCCAAACGGTGACTGCTGTGAAAGGGCAAGCCCCAAAACTGGCATCCATTCACAGCACATGCCAAACTATTGCGATCAAGATGCCCTTGGATATGCTGTGTAAATTCTGGTGTCCCAGCCTCGGAAAATTCAACTTGACAATGAGCGTCGGGGCATAAAATAACTCCGTGAACACAAGACGCGTGAGTCCTGAGGTTCATGTTAGTAGTGATCTACATTGCCTGGACCTCTTAACAAACTTGAAATTCTGTAGGCTCCAAATTTTCATTTGACAACGTGGACAAGACATGCTCGACCGTTTTGGAGCTGAGATAATCACGCCTTCGTCAAATCTCTCTTGCAAATTTCTGAGCATTGTAACCATCCTAGTAAGGTCATCCGAAGCGACAGCCAAGGGACATTGGATAGTTCTGAAAGCGAGGTCGGCCCAGATATCCGCTGTTAGAAGGCCGCGGCGACAAGCCTGAGATAAACAAACTAGTAGAGAAGTTTCTCTAGATTTAATTAGCGCCTGGTCTTAAAAAAAAAAAAAAAAAAAAAAATCCGCTTTCACCAACCTCCGAAATGTTTGGAGCCTTTCCCCATGTTCCAGCCTCTGAGATGTGCGGACATACGCCAGACCGCACATGACATAGCGCTTCACGAAACCATCGGCTGACCGAGTCGGATCAGATAACCAACGTGAAAACCGCCGCTGGAAGGCTAGTAGATATACACTCGTCATGTGGAGGTGCAGATAATATAAAACCCGCTCTTGGGTGATGGTCTCCTCAGACATCGGTTCGATTGCTGTTGGAATAGTGGCAATCAAACGTCGTTGGGTTGCGAGAAACTGCAACTGTCGCCACCTTTCTTGTGCCACAGCCCAGGCGAAGTGGCCAAACTCACCTTTGAATGCGCCCTCATCTGGAAGCATCGTGTTGGTTGGCCAATGCGGAGTGTCCAGAAACGCCGACAGACCCCTATTCACAGAGTCAATCAGCTAGAAAGGACGGGCTGGTATCGTTTACCCTCACCATTCGACCTGAGAAAAAGACCAGTCAATTAACCGATGGGCTTGTGAGCATGCCATGTCCTGGCTTTGACCATAGCGTGATCGCAGTCGGCTGGTAGCATCGAAGGAACGCATCGCTTCGTTGACGTCCATTGAATAGATATTGACCACGACCGCCAGTAGTCCCGCGCGAAGGGAAGATAGGGCGTCATTGAGCTTTGCCAATTCAATAAAGGCGTACCTCATTGAGAGATTAAGATCTTCGTCCATCAGAGGCGTGTTTCTTGCCTCTGGTGGATTGGCTGCTCGAAGCCCCAAGAACAAAATGAAAGGGATAAGACACCGTTCGGAAGCCGAAACAGCATCGCAACCTTTGGTTGCAAAGCCCATCGACGCCATGTGGTATCTCTGAAGGCGTCGCGTCAATTCAAGCGGTATAATGGGGTAGTAGGGGGTAATTGTTTCAAGGAAGGCAGTCATGGCTGCCTCCTGCAGATTTGGCGAACTGACTTCTTCTGACGACATTCGCAAATAAATGTTGAAAGCACAGGATGGATCGTGGGGAAACATAACTTTTCGTTGTCAGGTACTGGCAAACTTCGTCTGGGGAACAGAGGCCCTTTAAGTATTGCACCGTGGCACACTAAGGGTCGGTAACACCACCCAACAGATTCTTGGCTTAGGGCTGAAGACCAGGATCTATAAGGACTGCGTCAGACCATACGTGTGTCCGGCCTGTTGATTAACCTCAGTGTATTCGTGTTGCTTGTGCTCTGTTGAGTCCGCCCCCGAAGGAACCCGGGTTGGATCTTAGGATGCTCGACCCACGCGCGACACCATAGCATGCTCAACGCCGCCCCTAGACTGACCAGTATGGCTTAGTCTGCACAGTTCATAGTCCCGTCGCTAAGTTAGCCTTACCTCTGACCTGTCCATTCCTCTTCTCCTCGATCCAGCTTATCTTCCACCCTCAGGAAACCAGGGTTCAAAGCCACTCCACGAAAACCCACATATGGATTCACATATGGATCCATATCAAATACACTCTATTCCATCAGACCCCGTTGTGGATTTACTACCACTCCACAGCAGCCGGCCACATATGGAAATTATGGAATGCAGTGGATATTCCTTAAATCTTAGCCGAGGTTTTACAAATACCGCCGAGCCCCTAGTTAATAGGTTGAGTCCGAAGTGCATACTAACTAATATACCAGGTCTAAGACAACGCATACCTATACTTTGGCCCCCTGTCTAGCACCTGGAATGGCCGTTCAGCTATTCCGATGATGCTACTCGCGGCCGCCAGACTTTACGCAGTTAGCTACGTGCAGGATTAATCGGTAGTTGGATCATAGACCGGCAGAGCCTTGGAGGGAATAATGGCGATTTGTCAGGGGTTAAGTTTTGCACGGGACTTACTCCCTTCCCCGGTATATGGAAATCCTTTCCACATTGTGGATTCACATCCATAATGGATCCATATCCATCCATTCCACCGTCGTGATCTTAGTCATCATCCACATCCATTCCACATCCTTGGATGTGTAGTGGAGTGTAGTGGCTTTGAACCCTGCAGGAAACTCTCCACAGTAAGCTCCTCGAACCTACTCTCCCGGATGACACCGAACTCTTTCCTTGATATCCACCAGGCCAAACTACGTGACTAACTTCTCAAACTGCTGAGAAGGTAATTCCTTCGTGAGGCCATCCGCATCATGTTGATAGTGAGAGTGTATTGTACCAAAAGCCGGTTGGTAAGTGGTTCTTGGCTTAGCTAGTGGTTGTGTATATCGACGTGTCGAAGTATAGTCAGTGGCGGTGCCACGTTGAACTTGTCAGTCAGCGCGCAAAGAATGGAGTCGTCCTTTCTATAGATATGGTTGTTTCCTTTGGTGCCCCAGTAACAGCTTGTTTTCCGTAATTGGCGGCGTGAAACAATGTTGCAGGTGAAGTCTACCGGTACACGGTGAGATACCTTGCGGAGTCGAGGGTGGAGGGATACATTGTGGCCCCTGGACGCGGATGTCAACGTCGCTGTATATGGTCACTTGTGAGCCTCCTGCGTAGACGAAGCCTCCAAACAGTGCTGGTGGGTGAATGAGGAATCTTCATATCTCGTTTGAAGGTGTGAATCGTGGAACCAGAGTCGAGGATGGCAGAGTTCTTGAGGGGCAGGCGGTACAGTTGAACGCTGCGGCACGACTACTCATCGCCAGGTAGGCCGCCTTAATGCGTGCCATACCCCACCCAAGTCCCTCATCCTTAGGAGTCTTCTCCTTCTCCTTAGGGAGCCGTTTGAACCCAACCCAACCCAACCCAACCCCCCGCGGCAAGCCTGTCATCTTTCTTGAGGCGGTCGTTTATCCATCGTAGCAGCCCCTAGCTTGATTCCCACCCTTGTGCTCTTTGGCCAGGGAATAGGTACCAACAATCGGTCCAGTCATGGATACTAAGGCATCCTCGACAGATTGGGCTGTCAAGGTCTGAATTGGTCATCGTCTCTGCTCTTTTCCGTCTCGATGATGTGCTTCTTCCTCCTCTTCCTCGCTGCCCGCGGCCATGCATTTCCCGAGTTCCTTGGGCTGTCGCGTTAGCCTTCCATGTCGATGCGTCTCCTAGCACCTTAATGGTGTCGGCCTCGCGCTCCGCATCCGCGGTGTGGTCATAGCCCACGCAGGTATGACCGTAGGTGGCCGTGTAGGTACCCTTCTTGATTCCTGACGGCCTGCCCGCTGGGGTCAGCCATCTTGGCCTCGCATCGAACTTCGATGGCTACCGCCTGATAGTTGAGGGCGTCGTTGAGGATTAGGGGGTGTCGATATTGTCGGAACGTGGAGGGCCAGCTAGGAAGGACATGGCACATTGATCGATTCAGGTCTTCTGCCCAATACTGGGCGTCGACGGTATCAGGGAAAGACCTGATGGCTTTGGTCATTGAAGTTTCCCGCTGAGTGACCTAATCGTTGAGCGAGGGGTTATTTGTACGAGTTTGTGGTCCTCGTCGCGTGCTTCCAGTCGGATACGCTTGTTATAAACCATTCCCGATCTTCGCAGCTCCTGGTACCACTTGTTCAACCAGTCTCCCGTAGTGCAGCACGTCTTGTGGTACGTGGGCGAGACTGTCTTGGGGGCGAAGTCCTCCAGTTTCTGCTCCAGTTTCTTGGTCTCTCTATATGCCGTCTCTTTCAGGGAAAAGATTCCGAGATCATACTCTTATTCAATCTTTGCTTCAATCGTGAGCTCTTCAAGTCGCCGGAGTGGTACGTAATCGGAACCAGGCGTGATCGTGCCGCTCTCGGGATCGTCTGGGCCTGCCTGTTTACGGTACCGGCAGTCTCGGATTCAAGGATGCAAGCAACTCAATTCAATTCAACTTAATTCAACCCACATCAACATTTTGTCAAGGAGCCAATAGGGTGTGTAGATTATATGTGGGGTGAGCTAAAATACAGATATTCTATTGGCTCCTTGACAATATGTTGATGTGGGTTGAATTAAGTTGAATTGAATTGAGTTGCTTGCATCCTTGCTCGGATTTCTGGAAGCTCTGGTTCAATCAGTCAGGCCGATGTACTGCGGCAGGCGCGTACCAGCTTTTCAAACTCGTTAAGTCAAATACCAAAGACGAGCAGGCGATGGTCCTTTCGGCTTGGCTTTTCCGACGTGGCGATGGAATGTTTTGATGGACCGAGGGTCGTATGCGCTTCATTCCCCGGGCCGCCGAAAATCGGAGTGTGCATCGTGTTTGCGTCGGGGAAGTGATTTAACTGCACCGTTTTAAAACTTCCTCAAAGGAGCCGGCCAAGGCCGGTCTCTTGAACCTATGTTCAACCAGCGGAGAGCGACCTGCTGCCTGACGATAGTCGGAGCGTGGAATTGACGATGATAGCGATATGTTTCATTCCAGCAGACACGCCGTCGTCAAGGCGAGCTAGCGAGTGCAACCCGACGCTTAGGTATATCCATAGCAGAATGGGTACTTTGAGGCTGCCCCTCATCCCAGTGAATACCCAGTCAGGCGCAGCATATGGTTTCGGCGGCAATCCGATTTGTCGTTCCGAGTAAGGTGTTTGGAGGATGATGATGGACGATACGTGTTGCCTGTGGACGTTCAAGTACTAGTTATCTTGGCTGCAAAATTCAGCTTGAAGGACTGGGAAATACCGGAAGTTCCATTACAATCTACCGTAGTTAAGACTGACGGTTTCCGAGCGTACAAAGTCTTGAAACTTTTCCAGCGGGTAAGCCATCCTTTTGTCCCTTCCTTTCAGAACACGGAGCATGCCGTGACTGTCAACTGAAATGCAAAGTCTGCCCTCACACGGACCCGTGGCAGAGAAGTCACCTACTGCAATGGTGCGAAGAGAGCGTATACCTCGAGACCCGAAAGCCCATTCGATGAAACCGCAAAACTCTTCCTGAAGGCGGTAAACTGATGACGACAAGACACCACCAGATACTCTCTCCTTGCGTAATTGAGAGCCCCAATCCTGAACACCGTATGAAACGCCATTAGAATCCGTCTCCTCGATATTGGTGGTTGCAGTTGCGGACGCTCCCCAGCTTGGATTGATGCATTCCCAAACCCTGGAATCAAAATATGAGAAACGGAGATGGAGAAACTTGAGACAACTTTTCGAAGCAAATGGAAGGAGCATGGTTCTCTTGAGAAAACATACGTCAGTCACGATTGAATGGGATGAAATTGCACAACCAGCTCGGATGTACTATCGCTTCGGAGGATACTCACAAGACGTTTGATTTCGTGTTCCAAACCTAGGCACTGAACGTCGAGAAAGCCCAAAGGATTAGAAGACGGACACTTCTCCAACCATAAGAAGAATTGTTTCAGAGTGGGTTTAGATAACCAACGGATGGCCCACAGTTCTTCCAAGACGCAATTCCGGAGTGTAGATCGATGAGTCAAGAGACTTGACCAAAACTCATGTTTCGGGAACCACGGGCCTGGTCCTAGCCGCAATGTTAGGTCGGTCAGTCCGCTGAAGCAGCCAAGAAAACGTACGACCACGTCTTCCAGCTCTTCCTCTTGACCGGTAGGATTATTAAACGAATCGCTGCGGTAAATCTCAAACGCTTTGATCCTAGGTTGCACCCGTAGTTCCAGAAGAGTGGCGAAAAATCCGGGCAACCCATGGCAGTCGCGGAAGCGAAGTGAGACCAACGTGTCGAAATCAAGTCCCCGAGCTAATCCAGGCCCGATAGTGGTAGACAAAAGAAAGAGCTCTCTTAGTTCTGGAAACATCGGCATCGACGGAGTAGGTTGGATGCGAAGAAGCTTTCTCAAGAATGCAGAATCGTGGATAATCGATTCCTGTACAGGTGATGGATGTCCATCCTCATCATCATGGCATGCTCCTAGGTCTAGCTCAAGTCGCTCTAGATGTCGCCGGTTCCTTGACAAGGCAGATAATAAGGCCGGGGCGTCTTCTGAACGAGGTGCTCTCCATCGCAAGCTTTTCAGCTTCCGAAAGTTGCCCAAATCGATGGCTGATCCTTGAGTCGCCGGTATGACTGGCGTTTCATAGCAATAAGGGTTTGTGATGATACTCAAAGCGCGGAGCAATTTCTGACGTGTAGTGATGATACCCCGGGGCCCAAGAATGGCTTCTGGAATACATGTTTCCAGGTCCCAACTGTCGCATATCGTTAGAGTCGGACGATTCAAATATATGCTCGCGTTGCCATACCTGAAGGTGTCCAGACGATTATCACCGATCTTATTAACAATCAATCCGGCGGCAAACGCAAGATGCTCAAAATCACGAGAATGGTTTGAAAACCTCTCATATGGACCATAGTCGGACCTTATAGCGTCGTCGTCGGATGCGTCGAGGTCAGAGTCGGACTCGATCTCGGACCATATATCATCCTCGGTGTAGGATGCCTTATGAGGACAATCTGCCCACCACGGTTTATGAAAGTCCATTTTGAAATGGAGGTGCCTGACGTATTTCCAGGGCATTGTTGGCGGCAAGTTCTGTGGTAGATCGTGCAACGAGAATGGCCCGGTAGGTCTGACGTCAACCGAGTGCCAGAACTTTGGTAACGCGACGTCACGTATAATTCTCGATACTTCAGTGAGTGACTTGCGGTCTTCGTCAATGGCGACCTAACCCTGTTAGCTGATCGTGCCCTTTCCGGCTTGCAGCGGGCAGACGAGGTGGTTGTCAAGTGTCAAAGGGAAATACTCAACGTATCCAATGATCATGTTCAAGATCTCAACCGGCAATTTGGAGATAATGTCCGCCATGATGGTTATGCAAACCTAGAATATCAATGCGCTTCCACTTTCCGAGGAGATAGCTACGCATCGATTGCCCTGTCAAGTTGAACAGTACTCATGCGTGGCCGTCAAGAAACAGTTCTTGCTTTTCAAAGGTAGAAAGGATAAGGAAAGAAAGAGAGTTTAAAAAAAAAAAAAGATTTTAAGGAGAAAAGACGAAATGGCAAAATGGCAAAATGGAAAGTATGCACAGGTATCGTAAATTGCGGGAGCCAAATCCTGCCACTGTAAGGTAAGACGGCCGTTTTCCACCCGTCGCGATGGTGGGCCCGTCAATGTTAAAATGGACGCGATTGCAGGGCTAAAAACGGGCGGGGAACTAGACACCCAATGCGGCTCGCACCACTTTGGGGCCTATAATATCTTTCCAAATGCAGTGTCCTATTACAGATCTATTGCGCAATGGACGCATGTAACTTTGGCTAGGGCTATTGACGTTCCCTGGTAGGTACCGAGAGCCAAAATGAGTTATCTTCAATACCTATTTGCATTATATGTCTTAGCATACACTCTCCATGCTAAGTACTCACACCACTACAAACTTTCTTTTTTCCATCTTCGCTACAAGCGGTTTGCCCGTCTTGCCTTAGGCCCATGTCGTCTGGCTCACTAGGATGGTACCAGCAACCCATTGACTAGAACTCTCTGACGCATTACCTATTTCCCAGACCTCCTGCGTGTCCGTCACTTTCGTCCTCCGTTGCGGGCCGCATAAGGAGGGATCGGCAAGAGGGCGTTTCTGTGAATGCTGGTAAAAGCAGTAAACTCATCACGACTGAAAGCCTCAAACGTCTTAGCCGTAAATACCTCGATAAACATAATGTAAGATGGAAGATTCCCTTCGACGATTGCTTGGCACAATTGTCCCGCTTGCCGTAGGAGTGCTACCAGCGGGTCGTTTGGGTTTCTTAACCGAGTCTTAAGGATTGACATGGAGTCTACTGAGAAACGCTGGCGTTGCGGAACTGCACAGAGAAGGGAATACGGGTTGATACCATGCTGGCCGCAGATGTCACATAATTCCAGCCACAGCTTCCCTTCCTCCCGAAATCGCCTTTTTCCAATTTTCCTCCTCCGCACTTGGTTCATGTAGCACCCAACGTAGTATGAACCCCGTGGGTCGATTTCGTAGGCTCTTGCGCCTCTCATGGCCACCTTTTCGTAAAGACGGGTCTGGCAGTATCGATAATGAAAGTCGCTAGCCGCTTTTCCCGCCTCGATGATGTTGCATAGTACTGGAATGCTTGTCTGCGACGATATTGAAGTCGAGCGGGCCGTTAACACAGCATCGCTGAGCACAAGTAACATGCTTTTCATCTCGGCACCCTCGTCAGAGATGGGTCTTGGCAATATGTCTACGTGGCGGATATGTTGGGGATGTACCCGGCTTAGCATCGCTGGGGCATTCCTACATGGCGCTTGTTGATCTATGACATACGCTTCAGTGTCGATTCTATGATTAGCAGGCACGTTGCCATGATTGACCGTTTCTAACGTCCTGTCGTCTGGGCTGCTAGGGTGGAGGAGAGGTAGATTAATACCACCACCGTCACTTAGCACGTCTGCACTTCCTGAAAGTGCCGAGTCAGGCGCAGGGCCGGGTGTCGTATCAGCAATGCCGTTGTCCAGGTCCGACCCCGGCGGTGACGCGTTGGGATCTGGATATCCATCGCCCCAGGCATCGTCAAAGTGTGAGGAATGAATTTCCTGTTCCCTTTCTAGTAGACCAAGGACGTGTCTATCGGCAGCTTCGAATGCGCGCTCATCAGGGTCTAATTTTTGGCAGCCGAGTTCAACCAGCAGCCGAGCTCGGAAGTGTGGAAGCCCCTCCTCGATAAGATCGTTGGATGCATGCGGCAAGCCGTTCGCGACTAGCCGGATACCCAGTAGCATGATTACCCCAGTATCTTCCGTATCGAAGCAACTGGGTCTGGGCCACTCTGGGAGGCTAGGTTTCTGTAGCGCCCCGCCGCTGTCGTACCAATGAGTGCAGTCAGGATAAACAACCGCAAAGCCCCAGCTAGATGCAAACTGAACGGGGACTACCCAGCTTTTCTCGCGGTCAAGAGTATGGAAAAAGGAATCAAAATCTTCGTACGGCGTGACCGGAGCGATCGTCAACGCGGTGTTCGAGTTTCGAAGTAATCCAAGATACAAGTGGATGTCAGTAGCCGAAATCTCTCCTGTCTGTGCCAAACATCTTCTCGCCTCCGTCACTACATCGTCTGAGATATGGACTAGTTCTTGGAGCCTAGTAGCGTAGTCCCTCCACGCATCATTCTGTCGCAGAAGGTGATTGCACGCAGTCATGGTCTGGTCGAGAGGGCTCCAATTAGGCCAATATCTTCGGAGTGCCTCCACCACCTTCTGATACTTTAACAAGTCTTTGGATGACAGAGGATGCGATGAGACTTCACTCAGCACATCATCCAGAACATTCATCTTTGCTGTCTGGAGGCAAATGAGGGGGCATGTCCAACCTAAAAGCACTTACTAGGGTAGAAAATAAACCTTTCAAAGTGGCAGATATGGCTCGTAGTTGTATGATTCGAGACCAAGCCCGTAGGCCAGTTATATCAGGCACTAAATGGACGACAGTAGCCAAAACTTGCCGTTAAGTTATTGAAAATTCGGCCATGGCAGGATCCATGACCCGAGATCGCCTAAATTAGCCGGCCCGTACGTTGACTTTTGCCGGCGGGTAGTTTGTTCATTCTTCTCTATGTTGTATAATCCTACGGCTGACACCTTTTTACAGCCCTCTTTCTATTGATGCCCCTATGAGAAGCGAATGAATGGGTTTCCTTTTGTCTAGAAAAGGAGCTCAGTGTAAACCACTTCACGTGAAACTCTTGATAAAGTAAAGACTACGGTGGCAACAGACACCGATGGCATACCTAGTCTCTGCAATACAATTGATATATTCTCTTATTTCCATATCCACGAATCGGCCTGACTGCCGTTCGTTTAGCATTTGATCGGGCGTCCCGAGTGCTTCTGCGGCCCTCGGAGATGGTTGTCTCATTGTTATCTACCGGTAGACTGAAAGCTTCTCGTACCATTCGAATAACAGATTTCTTAATTTCTTAATATTTTACATCCGCAAGTAACCAAAACACTTCTTTGGCTGTCCGTTGTCCGAAGACGTGTCACCCACATCATTCTAATTTTAGCCTATAGGTAGAAACTCTAGGGACTGTAGTCTTTTAAATGAGTCACGGATCATCCCTACCTTTTGTACGTCGCCTTGGCAGCATAATGCGGGAGTATCTTTGAGGATATGGAAATGGTCGAAAATGGCACCTCGTTGTTAAGGTCCCTCAAGAGCTGCGTGCATGAGTCGTCCGTTCTTTCCCATATTGTGCGAGATGCTAGATCTAGTGGTCTCAATTCCGCTTTGGCAGTAAATGGCCCATTCATCGTGCAAAAGACAAACACGGGCAAGTTATAGCCGCTGAACCGTAGTTTCGTGCCAAGCAGCTTAAACTTGCCTCCGGGCGGCAGTCTGCCGTCGCACACATACTCGCAGTGGACAGCATGAATGTAAATAGTTTCTGACCTGACTGAAAAAGTGAACATTGACCCGCAGGATCCCATCTCTCGTGAATTAGGCCGCTTTCACTGCCGAGACGTTTCGGGCGCAGGGCCTTACCTCCATTATTGTCTAAATTAAGCAGAAGGCTCGGCTTTAAAAACGAAGTACTCCGCCTGTCAGTCTCACCTCCGCCAAAGTACCTTCTCGCGCTTCAAGGATACCACCATGGCTCGTCGTAAGTCCTACCTCAATTTCTATCAATAGCCGGTGAGTCACACTGACAGGCGGCCAATGAAGAGATGAGCATACATTCGACATTCATTGTATGGCGACTACTACGACTTTTTGACACCTTCGCCATTTTCTCAGGATGGCTAGGAACCATCTCGCTTGGGCTCATGGTGTTCGAAGTATCCAAAACCGATAACTTAGGAAGTCAATTCGACATAGCAACCGTCTTGTTGACGCTTGCTACTATCGCCGCAATCGCCAACATTGCGGTTATTACCATGCTCAAGTTTGCGTTTGAAAATCATGGTTTCCAGCCTAAAAGAATCGACTTCCTATTTCTTTTGTCTCCGTTGGTCCTTCTGGATTTAATCATTGTCAGTGTTCTAACCGGCCTTTTTCTCTTGTTCAATTCCATTCTACCCAGCTGGTTTGGTGCCATTGCCGGTGCTCAACTCGTGTTTTTCTTAGTCTTCATGTTGACCGTGTCCGTACTGGTATGGAAAAGAGTCAGGGTACCTAATGAAACAGATGATGGGAAAACAAGTCAGGATTAGTATGGTTATTCAAAGCCCGTGTTTCCCATGCGATATCCTGCACACGATGCCTAGTCAACCGTTGTGAAGAGGTACCTTAGGAAGATCTTAGTTCATTTAGTTACCAAAAATTAGAAAAATCGTAGCATAATAAGCCGAATCATGTTATGCCTGCGCCAAAGTTCCCATAGAGGAGATTCATGCTGGAAACATTGCCCCAACAAGGATACCATGACCCGATCGTAGTGATATCAGCACATGAATTCCAAACATCTAAAACTTCGTGTAACCAATCCCATCTACTTGGGCCCCAGCTTGATGCACCATCTAGACCAGAACCATCATGCTATGCTTCTAAAGGCCACCATTCAGATATTGTTCCTCCATGGCGAGTCATTGAATCGGTCGTGATTGTTGTGCTACCTCTGACAGGTCTCATTCCTCGCACGGTCGAGGCTCGCCGCCCACCCTCTTGTATTGCAGACGTGAAGCTAGTGTCCCGAACCAATGTACAACTTCAATCGAGGTCCATAGTGTCCATGTTCTATGTTTACCACAACTGGAAACGTTTGGTCAATCCTCAGGATCCAGCATAGTCTCAGCAGGCCGCTGAAGTGGCGATATTTAGAGGTCGAGTCATGTACAATGTGAAGCTCATTCAGGCTACAGTATCCCGTTTTAGACGACAGTTAACACACCGCTGTTACCCGCCATCCAGCCATAGACCGCTAATCTTATTCTCTGAGTTATGGCGTATGACATTCATGAGACCAAAATTTACCTAGTTTAAGTATTATAAACAGCCAGGCCTGCTGATAGAAAGAAACTTGGCTTGTTTACACGATCTTGACGCGCGTCGTCCATAGGCGCGTAAGCCCTCGGGAAGTAGCGACACTAGAACTAAATCAGCCACCACAAAACGAATGCACATGATGTTGATACACAACGCTATGCTTTTTTACACCTAAACGTCTGATATCGCCCTCTTTCCGCTCATGTTCTTATTTGGAGTGTGTATAACATCGACCCTGTTACCCAATAAACCAAAGTGGTGCGCTTCGGTGAGGGTCCCTTCTTTGCCATGGGGAACGAAAGCATTCACGTCCGTTTTGGTCCGGCTGATCTATCAGCTCTCAGGGCAATAAGCCAATAATGAAACTCAGAAGAATGTAAAATATCGTGTATACACTCAACGGGAGAAAATGGCCCTGGCCACCAAAGCCTAAGTATGAGCTAATGTGTGCATGCATCTAAGTTGGCCTCTCCACCCAAACGGGATCTGTAGAAATAGGTCTCTAGAAAATACCGAGGCCAGTATAGGGATCTAAAATAAAACAAAAGTAACGTAAAACGCGAATTGGCCTTGGTCAAAGCCAATACAGGATTTCTCAGAATCAATGTCACTCGTAACATATAAAGGTGAGGAAACGTTCATCCGTCGAATAACACTCTGGACCTTGCTCAACATCTATACTCATATACCAGCCCTACATCTCCAGGGTTACACATCAGCGGCGGCACTGTCATACATGAATACCCATATCCGTAATATGAAGTTAATTGCGCTTTTATGTAGCATGCTACTTGCTGCAAACACTGCTGCTTTTCCAATAAACATGCGTGAACGAAACCTACAAGCGAGTCAACGCAACGGCACGGAGAGAGCAATCATGTTTATGCACGAGACCCAATTCCAAAAAACATTCCGCAGAGATCTTTGAGAGCATTTCCTGTATACTAAGCGACTATGAACACTGACCAATTCTCTGGACAAATACTTTCGGCTGCTATATTTTAGCGCTGGCCCTTCGCCAGCGAAGAATTCTCTTCAGATGGATTATCATATGGGCTGACGAGGAGCCGAAAGGCTCGTCAGAGTAATCAGATCCGCAGAATTTAATGTGGTTCATTCAGTTTTTACTTAAGATCGTTCATCCCAAGTAGACCGTGCTGTACCTAGAAACTTCCTGATATGGTAGGTGCCGGTAACTAAACGTCATATGATTTCACTGGTTTCGAAAGTTATCCTCCGCACCTCACATCAAGCCCGGGCTCTGAGTTTAATGTCTTCCAGACTAGAAGCAAATGGAGCCGGGTCGGTGTTTCCAACGCTGGATCTGATCTTGCATAAGCTCCCGAACGAAGCCGTGCCTTGTTTCAATCTTGCCCAAGATTCACGTGGCGGCCCATTCCACCAAGCAGTAATGTTGTATGCTTCGCCAACGTGATCATCGATTCCACAACCCATTCCCTCTTCTCCCAGTCGCAATTTCCAAATGCTAAAGCGATCCCCAAATTCATCAATCAATTCCTGAACAGCTCCAGCCATTTCCCGAATCGTATCTTGTGTTTCATAATCGCTGCCATTTAGAGCTCCTTTCGCCCAAATCTCCACCTTCAAGCTCTTGATGTTTGTGAATTGAAGCGAACGGCGCAGATATTGGGCTATTTCTGAGCCATGCATTCGGCGCCGATCGACTCGAATGATGACCCTTCGAACAAGCTCTTCAACAGGGACGACATCGTCCCATCGTCCAAGTGGATCAGCTAGAAACTTTCCGATCCAATCCGCTGAAACGACGAACTCTGTCCGTTGGTAGAAGCAGACCTGCGTATTTGGATATAATATATCGATATCAACTGTGCTATCTGGATATATCGATATTAATATATATCGATATCGATATAACTCTCTGCCTCTTAAATGGATATCCAGATTGATATCTACCTAAATACCGCTCTCTGATTGGCTGAAAAGATCTTATAAATTGATTAGATGATGAAAAGGCTTCTGTCGCATATCACCACTAGGTTCGTGCGACTAGATATGAAACACGGGGCGTACCTTGGGGTTACGTATCCGGTTTCACATCTGGCCTATCGCATAATCCTAACATAAGCTCAAATAGCTATCCCCGAACACATGGCTGTTTGATTTCTTTTATTCTTTAGATAACTCTCATCAATTGACTGGTGCCATTAATAATCCCTATGGAGCCAACTATCTGACAACTTCTCTCAATTTCAATATCAGCACCACTATCTCAATACTCATTCAAACGGCCCTAGGTATTCTAGCACAATTTGCTTATCTAGGTGATTTATTGACCATAGCATCATCTCAGACCACCGCCGCCTCTACGCCCTCGATTTCGGACCAGCCCATTACTGGGACGTCTCTAGACTTTTTCCTCTTCTTCAAAGCAACGTATCCTAATGAGGACACCCAGAACACCACCGGCGGGTTACATAAGCGCAAATCCAGGGGTATAGTAATATATCGATATCTCCATTGCCCTGCCGATAAGCCCTGGGCGAATCAGAAGCGGGACAACGCATGGCATCACGCCCGGCGGTGCCATGCCGATATTATCTCTTCCCTCGATCGCACGCTCATTAGGGGCAGTTCTGATATTCTAGATGATGAAAGGGAAGCCAAAAGTCCTCGGATTAATGCTTTCTTTCCCTCTCGTTACTCGGATGTCTCTCTCCGCCGTATGTTCGACCGCGATCGGTATTTAGATGCAATAATCAGCCTAATCACACGTCGCCGGCTTACCTTCTCAGTAATTAACTGGGATGAGATGCAAGAGATTATGCTAGCAGCTAATCCTGCTATAGAGGACCTTTTAGTGACCAACCGAAGTGCTCTAATGCGACTAATTAATGCCACATATGAGTTATATTCTTCTCAGCTCATGGCAACTCTTGAAGCTTCCATCTCAAAGATCCATATCCTCTCTGATCTCTGGATATCGCCCCATCGCCATGGGATACTCGCCATCTCTGCGCGATGGGTTGATCAGGATTATCAGCCACGAAGGGCACTACTAGCAATGCCAGAATGTCGCTATAGCCATAGTGGTGAAACCCAGGCATCTCTAATCATCGATACACTGGCAAAGTACGGCATTGCTTCTAAAGTGGGCTACCATATAGGGGATAATGCCACTTCAAATAATACCTGCTTATCTTATCTCTCACGGCGGTTACGGGAAGACTATGGGGTACGATAGCCCTTCCCTTATCTCTGGATTAGGATTAATTGGTTGCTAGTTGACGTTTGATCCCTCTAAGCGCCGTATCCGCTGTTGTTGAATTGCGCAGTGATGCTGGGTGTGATTGATAAAATCAAGGTTATTGTTATTATTATCATGGTGAGAGCTCCCTAGGGGTTTATATCCCATGCGATTCCATCTAGGACTTTCAACTTTCAATCTAGGACTTTGTGATGTGACCCTGAAGTGAGGGGGAAGCTCCCAATTATTCCAACATCCGCTGCGTCGCCCACATTATTAACCTATCCCTTCAAGCATTTCTTCTCGCGTCTTCCGAAGAGGCACTAATCGCCGCTCTTGATGCCACCGATAATACCTCAAACGATCAGTTGTTTACACAGTTCTACGACACCTTGCACGACGCTAGACAGACAACAAGAACAGATAAGGCCCATCAGAGAAGAAGAGCTTCGCGAAGAGGCAATCGTATATTTGAGAACTTCACTAGATGGCAGCATATCGCGCCCCTACGGAAAGTACACAACATCGCGGTCTAGATACGTAAATCTACGCTTCATTCGGCTATATGGGATAATAAAATAAAGCTCCGACTAGGCATAGATAATGCCACACGCTGGAATTCATAGTATCGATTATTAGATAATTTTCTGCGGTATCAATCCCGTATAAAACAGTTCCTAATTGACCATAATAGAGAGCTTCAAGACGATATCCTACTAGCTTCAGAGTGGGAGTTTATTGAACAGACGCATCGTTTCCTACAGCCGTTTGCCTCAGCTACGTTATTAGCCGAAGGGGCGCGATCTACACTCTCCCAATCACTCTCGATAATAGATGTTTTATTGCGACAGTACGAGAAGTATAAGGTCAGTGGCGATGTTTTTTCTTTTATCTAATTGATCGGCTAACTAATTGTCTTATTTAGGAGCTTTATAGTTCAAAGGAAAAGCATAATCCCCACATAGTACACTGCATCGATATGGGCTGGTTTGTACTTAATAA